CCTAAACCCTAAACCCTAAACCCTAAACCCTAAACCCTAAACCCCCTCAAACCGCCAAAGCCATGCGCTGGCTCCTCCTCCTGGCCCATGCCTGGCTGGCTTCGGGTGGGGCCCGGCCCGTCGCCGACCCTTTGGCTTGACATAGGGGTTCAGGGTTTGGGGTTTAGGGTTTAGGGTTCAGGGTTTAGGGTTTAGGGTTTGGGGTTTAGGGTTTAGGGTTTGGGGTTGAGGGTTTAGGGTTCCAGTTCAAAATGTTTAGGGTTTAGAGCTCAGGTTTAGGGTTCAGGTTTCAGGGTTGAGGGCTCAGAGTTTAGGGTTTACTGGATTTTGATGGCTTCAGGGTTTCAGGGTTTTAGGGTTAGGGGTTAGGGTGTAGTGGCTTAGGCCGGGGTGTGCAGGTTGGTGGCAGAGGTACTAGTATGCAGTTTAACAGGGTGTATAGGGTTTGGGCTGTGGAGGGTGTCGGGTGTAGGATGGCGTTGTGTATGTACTACCTTGGCCAACAAGAGATGCCAGGTTTTGAATTTACACTGCCAACATTATGCGGCTACAGCATCGTATGTAAGTCGATGTTGGCACATGTACTTGAGATCTTGAGACTGGAAGTTGTCGCCTTAGAGAGTTTTTGAGTTGGCGGAACTTCGCGGTTTTCCAAATGCTTCATCCAGCTCTATCAGCTCGCCTTCGGGGGAAGTTGCACCGGAGAAATCAGAAGTTTGTGACGTCTCAGAATTTCAGAGTTTGAGAATCTAAACTTCGCGAGTTCCTTGTTCTTGCAATTCAAGGGCCCTAAACCCTAAACCCTAAACCCTAAACCCTAAACCCTAAACCCCCATCAGGAGCTCCAAACTCCACAAGTCCCACACGCCCCTTCAAGCGAAGCATCTGCACCAAACGAAGCTCTGGCCCACATGGCTCTAAACCCTAAGCCCTCAACCCTAAACCCTAAACCCTAAACCCTAATCTAAACCCTAAGCCCTCAACCCTAAACCCTAATCCCTATATTGCCCTTTAGAGGGAAGAACCTTAACTCGATCAGTGTTAGGGATCCTTTTTACTTTTTGGTGTATGGGCTTTCCAATATATGAACAAAAAGGGTCCTTTTTTTCTTCCTAGGGGAACAGGGATTAAGTTAAGCCCTGAACCCTAAGCTACTATTTGCTGAAGAACCCCCAGAAGAATAAAGCATGAGAATCCCTATATTACCCTTTACAAGGAAGAGTTTTTTTCGGGGTTCTTAAGCAAGTAGTAGTCAACCCAAAACCCTAAGCCTTATGGGTTTAGGGTTTAGGGTTTAGGGTAAGACTGTTACTGTTACCATCCCCAAGCCCTAGTAACATTTAGTAACCCAAAAGCCCTGAAGGGTTTAGGGTTTAGGCTTTAGGGTTTAGGGTTTAGGGTTTAGGGTTTAGGGTTTAGGGTTAGGGTTTAGGGTCATGGTTCAGGGGGTTGAGGGCTTGAGGGTTTAAAGGGTTGAAGGGTTTTAGGGTTCAGGGCTTAAACCCGAGTTTATAGTTTACAGTGTATAGTGTTTACAGGGTCTATGGGGTTTGTAGGGCATACTGTTTTTTAGGGTTTATCGAGCTTATGGGGTCTACAAGGCCCATAAGGGGTTTAGAGACCCAACTCCAAACCCTAAACCCAAAACCCCTAAACCCTAAAACCCCAAAACCCTGAAACCCTGAAACCCGAAAACCCTAAAACCCTAAAGGTCTAAACCCTAAAACCCTAAAGCCCTAAAACCCTAAAAGCCTAAAGCCCTAAAACCCTAATACCCTAATACCCTAAAACCCTAAAACCCTAAAGCCCTAAACCCTAAAACCCTAAAGCCCTAAAGCCCTAAGACCCTAAAACCCTAAAACCCTAAACCCTAAAGCCCTAAAACCCTAAAACCCTAAACCCTAAAACCCCCTAAAACCCTAAAGTCCCTAAAGCCCTAAAGCCCTAAATCCTAAACCCTAAACCCTAAACCCTAAAACCCTAAAACCCTAAAGCCCTAAAGCCTAAAACCCGCTGAGCAGATCAGGAGAGAATGCACGGCCTCTGCGACGACGGCGCGCCCAGCGACGGCCGGACCTGCGGGCGTCATTTCATGGGTTGCCCTACGCCCTACTACTACTACTACTTCTACTACTACTACTACTACTACTACTACTACTACTACTACTACTACTACTACTACTACTACTACTACTACTACTACTACTACTACTACTACTACTAGACTACCCCCCTCTAGACTACACCCCCCCCCCCCCCCCCCCAAGTTCCCCAGCTCCCCCCAAATGAAGGCTATTTAGGGATGATCCAGCTTCACTAAAGTTATTCAAGGATAGAGGCGGGGTAGTAAGGAAACCCATGATCATTTCTAGGTTTACGAACAAAAGGGAGCCCCAAAATAGGGGTACCCTGATAACAAGGACCCCCAGAACCTAACAACAAAACTGACCCCCGAAATAGGGGTACCCTTTTTAAGGGTCTCTACAATAAGGACTATAGTAGCTGGGGGGTAGAATAAGGGTACCCCAACATGGGGGCTTACGAAAACAAGGGGCCCCCAACTAGAGACCCCCAAATAGTAGGATTCCCTTAAGGACCCCAACAAGGCACCCCTAATGTCGGAAGCCCCCATCTCGAGGAATACCAAGCAACGGGGAAAGTATTGCCCATTGTTGAGTGTTTCGTAGACATCGGCTGATTTATGGTTTATTGATGTGAGGTTCCGGGATCAGACAGGTTTGGGACTATGTGGATGATTTGAGGGGATTCCCAAAACGTGGTCGTCTTTTATAGGGCTACTAGGTTTAAGCTTAGAACCAAACTATTGCAATGTGCCCTTTGTAAGGACCCCCCCCCCCCCCAAACCCTAAACCCTAGACCCGAAACCCAGCAACAAAAGAACATGGACCTTGGGGAAACCTCCGCTCTAGGACGCTTTAAGGTTTATCCATCAAAATGGCTTGGGGTTCATAAGGTCTCAGATTTGCGTTGTTGGGGCTTTCGGGTTTCCTAGGGTTGCAAGCCTGTCTGCCAGAAGTTGCCAGGGTTTAGGGTTTTAGGGTTTTAGGGTTTAGGGAGCAGGAAGCAGGGAGGTTGCTGTTCCGATTTAGGGTTTAGGGAGCAGGAAGCAGGGAGGTTGTCGTTCCGTTGCTTGGGCGAAGGGTTTACAAGTTTAGGAGCTTAAGCTTCAGCGTATAGGGCCCCAACAACATTGGCTCATCCCCCAAGGCCGCAAACGGCAGTTAGTTCTGGTCCTGTTTGGGGTGCCCTGTACATATAGCCTCCGTATCGTAATCAGACTCCGCAAAAGGGACTACAATTTAGGGAACCCAAAAGGTGTTCTGGCCAGCTACTGGCTGGTTTCCACCTGGCACGGCAGCAGCCCTAGCGTTCGGTCCAGCTGGGGGTTGATCGTTGATCCAAATCCCAAATCCCGAAACCCTAAACACTAAACCCTTGGATTTAGGGTTTAGGTTTAGGGTTTACAGTCGGAAATGGCTCGGGGACTCGGACAAGTTGAGGGAGCTTCCGCGGCTTTTGGGACCTCGGTTTAGGGGTTCCGGGTTCAGGGTTCAGGGTTCAGGGCTTAGGGTTTAGGGTTTAGGGTTATAGGGGGGTTTAGGGTTTAGGGTTTAAGAACCCTGGAAAGAACTACATATATGCCCAAACCCCCCAAACCCCCCAAGAACCCCCCAAAACCTCCTGGACACCCTAAACACCCTGAACAACCTAAACACACAAACCCCCAAACCCAAACTCCAAAACCCCGACACCCCGAAAGCCCAAAACCCCAAAGCCTCCCAAACCTCAAAAACCTCTAAACCCCAAAACCTCTTCAACCTCCAAATCACCAAACCACGAACCCCCCCCCCCCCCCCAAAAAAAAAAAAAAAAAAAACCTAAACCCTTCGAGCCGAAAACATTCGTGCTGCCATGCAGCCGGAGGGAGAGCTTTTAGAGCTTCGGGTGTTCGGGGTGTGCTCCGCGTCTGTACCTACGACTCTAAAACCAGGGCTACAGGCACCTTCGTAGGTTTAGGGTTAGGGGTTTGGGGTTCGGGGTTCGAGGTTTGGGGTTTCGTGCACTGAGCTCTATGGTGGACGGAAGAGCCAATGAAGTACTTCACACTCTAACCCACCACTTAGGCCGCATAAGCCCGAAAGCCTCAACCTATGTCCTACAGTAGGGCATCGACCTGGTGTGTTCTTCAGACCCGGTACCTTGGGTCATCAGGTTTAGGGTTTAGGGTTTAGGGTTTAGGGCTTAGGGTTTAGGGTTTAGGGCTTAGGGTTTAGGGCTTAGGGTTTAGGGTTTCTCTTCATGCGTGCAGCGGATGAACCCGTGGGATTGCCTTCCACCTCTGCCTCTCCACCCTTGGACGGCGAACATCGACCCTTCCGCGTGGAATTCCGGAGCGCTTCTTTGTCACAGTGGGGTAACATTTTACATTTTTGAGGGTACTTAAACCCAATAATGGGAATACACATTTTAGTTCTTTTGCTTCTCCCAACCATTGTCAAGGGTGCTTAAACTCAAGAAGGAATAGGAAGTTTAAAGACCCTAAACCCTAAACCCTAAACCCTAAACCCTAAACCCTAAACCCTAAACCCTACTCTCCCAACCATGAGCAAGGCGTTGAACGGCGATCTGCTTGCTGAGCTTCAGCCGACTGGTCCATGCCCAGTGGGAGCTTTGCAGTGTCTAGGACTCGGAGTAGGCCCTTATTTCCTTTTTGTTTGGGGTTTAGGGTTTAGGGTTTAGGGTTTAGGGTTTAGGGTTTAGGGTTTGGGTTTAGGGTTTAGGGTTTAGGGTTTAGGGTTTAGGGTTTAGGGTTTAGGGTTTAGGGTTTAGGGTTTAGGGTTTAGGGTTTCTTTTTAGGGTTAGGGGCTCCCTTATACGCCCCTTACAATCAAAAGGGGCACCCTTTTGATTCCTAGGTTACTCATGGGTCTAGGTGTCATCTGGCCGCCATTTTACACGATGACGCTCGCCCCATCTTGATGTTCCAGGGCTCTCCTCTGGAGTCCGCGGAGGTCCTTCGTGAGGACGCCTCTCTGGTTGTGATTCGCCGGACTTTGCCGGAAGCTGCTGCCAACTGTTTGCAGGAGGCGCGCAGAGAGGTTGCGAACATGCCTCCAGGGCGCCTGCAAGAAGTCAGGGACAAGATGCCGGGCGTTCCAGCCCTTGATGTGCTGTCTGCCGTGTTACTAGCTTGTGCTTTGGGATGATTTTGACTTCCACTTCTTTCCTTATAAGGGTTTAGGGTTTGGGGTTTAGGGTTTAAGGTTTAGGGTAGGGTTTAGGGTTTAGGGTTTAGTTTTCAAAGGGTTGTTTAAGCACAACGCAGGTTAAGCCTGCTCGATTGGAGAGGCAACCACTCTTGGGCGTCGATGAGGAAGTTTTTGGGTGCCAATGATGTGCAGTCAAAGCTGCTCGAACTCGAGCCCCACCAAGTGACTCGGTAAGTGGTACCCTTTGCCTCTTTTTTTTTGGGTTCGGGGTTCCCTTATAAAGTAACCAGCCCAAAAAAGGGTGCGCTTATTGAAATATCGTTACTTGGAGGTAAGCTTCGAGAGCCAGCTCGCCGTACAGCAGGCTGTGCAGCAAAATTTCATGAGCTTCAGCTACGAGGTCATCTGTAGATACAGCCCGGAGCTGGCACCCCTTGCAGCCCTGGTGAGCGCTTTCTTGGAGTGCTGGGCAGCCTGACAGCGTGGAGAACAAAAGGGCCTGGCAGCCGTTTTCCTTTAATACAAGGGTGTGGCTAAAGGAAGCTTCGGGAAACACTTACGCATACTGAACCCTAAAACTCTTCATTTCTCACAAGGCTGGTGCCAGCGTTGGCTCAAGTATGCCTTTGGCTATTTGAGGAGCTGTCGTGACTTTGAATTCAGTTTGTTGGTCATGTGCTAAGACGTAGCTTACGGTTTTTCAGGCTTTGTCGTCTTGCGCAGATATACACGTGCTCACATTCACATGTGCGCACGTTCACCTACCCCAGCACTTTTGGTCGCAGCAGACTAAGCCTTGACGTCGCTGGCATGGGAGTTAGGGTTTTTGCTGAGATTCTGCATGCCCGGGTTGTTTTGGGTCGAAACTGCTAATTACCACGTAATTTCTGTTTCTACGAAGCTGTAGGTTGCACCGTAAGAATAGCTTCGAATTGTGTGTAAACTGTTAAGGACAGCAGCTGTCTTCGTGGCCCAAACCCCAAACCCTAAACCCTACACCCTAAACCCCAAACCCCAAACCCCAAACCCTAAACCCTAAACCCTATCTGTTGCCTCGCTGAGGTCACAAGCATCGGATGGACCTTAACGAGCTGCGCGAATTCAATGTCAGGCATGAAAACGGGGTGGGGGGGCAGGGTGGTGTTTACTTGTTTACTACTATTTGCTTAAGAACCTCCCCACAAAAAAATAAAATAAAAAAACTATTCTTCCTTGTAAGGGCAACATAGTGCTTATTGTCTCTCTTTTTTTTTTTTTGGGGGGGGGGGGGGGGGGGGGGGGGGGGCTTCTTAAGCAAGTAGCAGTTCAGGGTTCAGGACATTCAGTTTGGAACAGCCTAAACCCTAGAACTTGGGATGTTCCCCCTTATACTAACAGTCCTTTATGGAGATTATCGTGCCCCCTATTATAATCCCTATGAAGGACTGTTAGTATAGAGGGGAACACCCCAACCCAGAACCCTGAACCCCTAACCCTAGAAGCCCGAGAGCACGAAGGTCTTACATCTTGATCTCTAAGCTATATCCTAAAGCAAAGCCCTTGAGACCTTTCAAGGTCCCAAAGCCCCGGAGTTCGTTTGGGAGTCATCAGCTCATTCGGATGCTCAGCCGTATCCTTTTGCCTCGTACAATCACTTTTTAAACCAACAGACGTGCACCCCTTTTTATTCCTAGATTGCTGGTCGCACCGTCTGAAAACCCGACACTCTTATTTCTAGGTAGATACGTGTTTTACCCCAAACACTAAACCCTACACCCTAATACTTTCCCTGACTGCGCTTAAGAGGATCGCATTTATGTTTCATGGGGTTCCTAGGGCCAGCCTGGCACAGCAGCCCAACACTGTAACATAGGGTCTAGGGTTTTGGGTTTAGGGTTTAGGGTTCAGAGTTTAGGGTTTGGGGTTTAGGGTTTGGGGTTTGGGGTTTAGGGTTCAGGGTTAGTTACATGGTCTCTTAGTATGGGCCCTTTAAAAGGGGGCCCCTCATATACCCCTCTCTATGCCCTAACCAAAGTCTGGGCCCATACATCAGGTAAGGGACCATATCAAGGGCCCATGGAGCTACCCTTAGAGTTTACCGGCCGCGGGAATTCTCTGGCGCCCCAGGTGGGCCCCTTTCCCGGAATGGTGGCCCTAGGTTCCTTACAAAGCTTCCCAATGCAAAGGAGGGTCCCGGAATTATGGGTGGGTTTGCCAAGTGCAGATGTCCGTGTGCAGAATGGAGGGCTCGGGGGCTGGGATGTAGGATTTATCAGGTTTAGGTTTGTTTTTTTGGGGGGGGTTTAGGCCGTTTAGGCAGGGTTCAACAAAACCGAGAAGCCCGACCACTGCCAGCTGCGAGCAGGCCGCTTCTACTGCACCACTGTCTGGTACAGAGCGATGTGCGGGCTTTCCTGGATGAGGCTACGGCTCAGGGTTAAAAGGTTTCTGGGGGGCGTTTTGGAACAAACTTGAAAGTTTTATTTCCAGGCCCTAGGCCGTAGACCCCAAAAGAAACCTAACGCAGCACGGGTTCTCCCCTCCATATTTGTCTGCCCACACCGTTCTCTGCTAGCGGAGCTACCCGCCCGAAACCTTACATTCCAATAGAAGAGCCTAAAAACCTTACACGGCGAATTCCGAACTCTAACTGGGGAAGGGGGGGGATCCTAAACAGAAGGGCCTGCAATTCCTCAAGTCGTACTCCCGAGCCACCCCACAACAAAATCGGATACCACGACCCTGAGCCCTAACCCAATAGACCCTCAACCCTAAACCCTAAACCCTGAACCCTAAACCCTAAACCACCACAGCCGTTAGGCCTGGATGGCTGGGCTGCGGGTTGTCGTCGAGCTCCAGCCCTCCCTGTACATAGAGCCGGGCGTCGGATGCTTCACCACCGGCCCCTCAGCAGGGTTTGGGGTTGAGGGTTTAAGGTTTAGGGTTTAGGGTTTAGGGCTTAGGGTCAGACCTTATTTTTGGTGGTTTGGGTTAGGGCTCTGAGTTCAGGAGTTTGGGGGGTTGGGGTTTTGGGGATTTCCTGGTTCTGATACAGAACTAGGAAGCCTGTGTGTCTTACGGTTAAGGTGGCTTGGGGTGTAGAGGTTCAAGGTTTTGGAGTTGAGGTGACTCAGGACCCTAAACCCTAAACCCTAAACCCTAAACCCTTTTGGGGATTCGGGGTTTCTCTGAACCCTAAACCCCAAACCCTCAGCCCGAAACCAAATGCTTCAGTGCCGTAAACCCTCCCTCCCCCCTTCAAACGAAGAAACTCCCCGGGTGCCCAAACCTGAAGCCCTAAACTCTGAGGTTTCGGGTTTCGGGTTTCGGGTGAAGGGTTTAGGGCTAAACCCTGAATCCGACCCTAAGCTCTAAGCCCTAAACCCTGAACCCTGAACCCTGAACCCTGATCCCTGAACCCTAAACCCTGAACCCTGAACCCTAAACCCTAAACCCTAAACCCTAAATCCTAAACCCTAAACCCTAAACCCTAAACCCTAAACCCTAAACCCTAAACCCTAAACCCAAACCCAAAAGCATCCTCCCCCAAACCCTAAACCCCAAACCTTAAGCCTTGATCCACGCCAGGCTTCGACTGCTACGAGCGTATCAAGGCCTTCCGGGGGTTTAGGGTTTAGGGTTTAGGGTTTAGGGTTTAGGGTTTAGGGTTTAGGGTTTAGGGTTTAGGGTTTAGGGTTTAGGGTTTAGGGTTTAGGGTTTAGGGTTTAGGGTTTAGGGTTTAGGGTTGTTTTGGCGTGTGCAACGCGGGCAGAACCACTTTGCCACGCTGTCAAGCTCTAGGAGCCGCATCAACTCTACAAGCCCCATGAACATGCCCTTGGTTTAGGGTTTAGGGTTTAGGGTTTAGGGTTTCCCTAAACCCTAAACCCTAAACCCTAAACCCTAAACCCTGCGGATTGGTCCAAAATCAAGCCCCCAACCCCTAGTCTGTACCTTGATCGCCGCAGACACACGGCATCACACGGCAGCCTAGTGCGTTTGTTAAAACATGGTAAACGCAAAGCTCTGGACGAGCTTGCTACTCCGCACCTGGGACAAGGGAGCATGAACGTTGAGCAACAAAAGCAAGCTACACTGTACTCCGAATCCGAAACCCTCAGCCCTAAAACCCTAGAACCCCAAGAACCCCAAGAACCCCAAGAACTCCAAGAACCCCAGAACTGCAAGAACCCAGAGTAGCTTGTGCACGGATGGACCTCGGAGGTGGCCTACCGACAGCTGCTGAGCGAGGGAGGTGCCCGTGGCTGCGGTCACAACTCCTGTTGAAAGGCTTAGGGTTGAGGGGGTTTGTGATTTAGGGAAATTATAGGGCTTAGTTTCGTGGTAAGGGTTTAGGGTGTAGGGCTCAGGGGTTATTCGGGGCTTCACTTCTCTACATGATGTTCCCCTTCTGTAGCTGCTTCAAAGGGGCTTTACATGTAGAACGACCCTACTGTGGGCATTGCAGCTTTAGCTCTTGAAAGTCAGTGCCATTTCGTGCAGTGCTTCTGCTTCGGGTTTGGGCTTTGGGGTGGGTTTAGGGGTTTAGGGCTTGGGGTTTTGGGTTTAGGGTTTTGGGTGTAGGGTTTAGGGTTTAGGACTAAGGGTTTAGGGTTTAGGGAGGTTAAGGTGCAGTAGCAACCCGAAAATCTCTTCTGGGGTTTTGAGGGCCCTGTTTAAGAATCCTGAAGGTAGCATAAGGGCCATATTCAGAGCATATTAGGGGGGAACCCTTAGGGGTACGAGGCTTAATCCTTGATCTCTGTGGGTGCCTAAACCCTAAACCCTAAACCCTAAACTCTCGGCCGATTTCGCAGGTATCTGGGCGGACGGCGAGTACCATCCGGCGGCCCCTCGGGTGCAGAAACAGATCTGGCTCCACCTTGGGTGCTTTGGATTTTAGGTTGGTTTAGGGTTTGGGGTTTGGGGTTTAGGGTTCAGGGTTTCGGGTTTAGGGTTTAGCGTTTAGGGTTTAGGGTTTAGGGTTTGGGGGTTAGGGTTTAGTGTTTAGGGTTTAGGGTTTAGGGCTAGTTTTGGTTGTATTTCGGCCCAACCCCCCTTTAATTAGGGCTTAGGGCCCCCCTCCAGGTTTGAGGTATGGGCTTGACATGGGTTGCTTGTTGTGGAGCGGAAGGGGCGCGTTGACTTTGAATCCGGAGCGGAGGCCGTTCTAAGCAACGAGGCTCTCGGGTTTTGCCTTGTCCGCACATCTCGTCAATTGCGAGGCCCATATCGTAAACTTAGAGCCCACTCCGATAAAATCCCTAAACCCTAAAGCGTTGAAACACAACAGACCCTACCTGGGACCCTCTTTACCTACAGCTTTATGGGTGTTATACCGAGTGATACGAACTACTACTAAACTGCAGGAAAGTTCAGTCCCAGGTAAACCCTAAGCCCTGAACTCTCGCCTGTTTTGAGGTCCAGGCACTTCTCCTCGCACGAGACCCGGTGACCCTGGCACTTGCACCTTGGCCGGTGTTGGAACTTTATGGTTTAATGTTTAGGATTTATGGGGCCCATATCTTCTCTACTTAGTCAAGGCGTCTGGGGGATGCTTCCTTTCGGATATAAAGGCAAAGGCCCGTACTTTAAAAGAAGGAACCAGAATTTATGAGTTTCTCATTTGGGATCGGTTCATGCTGTAGGCTATGTCCGAGCCAGCCTAAAGCGTAGTTTAGGGTTTAGAGTGTAGGGTTTAGGGTCCAGGGTTTCTGGTCATGAGGCAAAGTGTGCTCCTATAGTTCAGGTGTCTTATGGTGTCTTGGTGCCTTGGGCTCGACGGGACCCTATAAATCCTTAACGACCTCATACCCTGAACACAGGCAGACACACAATAGGCCCTGCACCCTATAAACCCTAAGCCGCACGCTAAAACCTAAGCCCTACAGCCATTACCTGTTAGGGGCACATCCTGAGGGGCTCCGAGTAGGACTCCCTTGAGAGTTGCTCTCAGGAGTTGAGATGTAGGGTTTAGGGTCTAGGGTCGAGGGTTGAGGAGTCGGGCCGAAATGAGGAACCCCCTAGCCCTGCGTCATCTCTTCAGAGCCCCGATTGGCAATCTCCACTTCCTAAAACTCAACCCTAAACCCTAAACCCTAAACCCTAAACCCTAAACCCTAAACCCTAAACACTAAACCCTAAACCCTAAACCCTAAACCCTAGCCCTAAACCCTAAACCCCCTAACACCCCCCCCCCCCCCCCGAAAGGAGCGAGGCTTCACCGCCAGGGCGGCGCTTCTCGGCGTCGTCTCGGCGTGGGACGGCGTGCTCGGCGCGGACCGGGGTTTGCAGTTTGGGCTTAGGGCTTAGGGCTTAGGGTTCAGGGTTTTAGGGCTTAGGGCTTAGGGTTTAGGGTTCAGGGCTTAGGGTTTGGGATTTTATAGGGGGTTACGATCATGCTTGTTAAGCACTGTGAGTATAAGGGGGAACATCCCATGTTTGACGTGTGTTCTTGCAGGGTCGAAGGGTTTATAGGGTTTAAAGCATTTATAGGGTTCATAGGGTTTATAGAGCTCGGAGGGTGTATAGGGTTTGCAGGCTTAAGGGTTTTGATTTGTTGTTCTTTTAGGGTTGAAGGGTTGAAGGGGTGAAGGGTCTGGGACTTGATTTGAGAAGTTTCCATCATAAACACAGAAGCCGAAGCCCTAAGCCCTAAGCCCTAAGCCCTAAACCCTAAACCCTAAACCCTAAGCCCTTCTTTCGGGGGATCTGAGCGCAGCTGCTGCCTTTGAGAAGCTGTCGCAAGGGGGCCTCAGGGCCTCCAGGGTTCAGTTCTTTTTGGGTTTAGGGCTTAGGGTTTAGGGTTTAGGGTTTAGGGTTTAGGGTTTAGGGTTTAGGGACACAGGCTGGCAACCCCCAAAATCCTCTCGGTTGGCCTGTCTTACGTTATAGCTGCGGGTTCCAGCACATGCTTCTTGTACACCCCCCACAAATTGAACTGTTTTCATACCTCAAACCCTCAGCAAAACCAGAAACCTGAAACCCCAAAGCTTTAGTAGCCGAAAGCCTAAAGTCACAAAAACGCCCGGCAAAGCTGAACATGTAACAGGTCGCATCCTTAAATCATGGTTCGTTTGGGGTGGTCCTGCTAGAACACGGCCCCTCATTTGAGAGGCCGAATTCAGGGCTTCCCAGAAAGGCTCCAGACCTGACCAACCGCAGCAAGATCTTAGGGTTTAGGGTTTAGGGTTTAGGGTTTAGGGTTTAGGGTTTAGGGTTTAGGGTTTACCCCCCCACACCCTTGCAGGAGATGGACTACGGGGTGGCCAGGCAGGTGGCGATTTGACGCATACCTCTGGAAGGGAATATTCATCATATAGTCCGGGGCTCGTACGATGTTGGATGTCCTGTTACACGTTGTTGTCTAGCAACCCTAGACCGTGTCATGATGCACAGGTTTGGGGTAGATGTTCTGGGTTGATAACTTTGTACCGTGTGATGAAGGATTTCGGATTTTCCGATGCTGGAGTTGCCAGTGAGATACGGCTTCAGGGAGGTAAAGAGATAGATAATTGTAGCAATCACCCCAAACCCTAAACCCCTCAACAGCGGGACGGGGAGGATTCGAAACATGTCCCTATCCAAAAGTCCCAGACCATATCTTCCCAGACCTGTGCCCCTCGACATCACCGTCTTCCTGCCCATGAGCTTACCCGGTCTGACGACACTTCGGCAGCAGACAGGAAATGGAGATGTCCACCCCTAAGCCCTAAACCCTCAACCCTGAACCCTAAACCTAAACCCTAAGCCCTAAGCCCTAAACCCTCAACCCTCAACCCTCAACCCTCAACCCTGACATGCATCAGGGCTGCTCTGGGTTCGAACGAAACGAAGAACAAAGCATCTGGCAGTGACGTTGCTAGTTATGGTACATATGGATTCGGGTTTAAGGCTTAGGGTTTAGGGTTCAGGGTTGGGGGGTTTCCGAAACTAGGGGTACCTTATGATGGTGCTTAATATAAGGGGATCCTACTATTTGGGGGTTTATTTTTAGGGGTCCCTTCTTTTCGGACACCCCCCATATTTTGTTGGGAACTAGGTACCTTAGTTCCCCTACAGGCTGTTAAAGGGACCGAACAGGCAACAAGCTCCGCAAGTTCCCTCAGGAAACAGTAGGGTCTAGAGTTTAGGGTTAGGGGCGTTTAGGGTTTAGGGGTTTAGGGTTTAGGGTTTAGGGTTTAGGGTTTAGGGCGAGTAGAAACCCTCTAAACCTTACTTTACACACCCCATAAACCCTGAACCCTACAGACCCTATAACCCTACACCCTAAGCCCTATAAACTTTGAACCCAGAAGCCGCATGGCATGCTGAGGCAAGACGACGGGGACGCCTGCTTCAGACGAAAGGCCAGTAGTGGGTGGGTTCCAACAGGGTTTGGGGGGTTTAGGGTTTGTTCATAAGATCTAAGCACAACTGGTTTGAGATTTTGGGATGTAGGCTTCAGGCAGGACGGCAGGAAGAATAGTGTTGCTTGTTGAGGGAACGCATTTATGTCATTGTTTGTGTTGCCTGTACTTTTCTCTGGGATTCTTCTGCAACAGCTGATTTGTTTGACACTGCTGCAAGCGTAGTTAGTAATACAGCTGTGCTACCATGCACTAGCAGGCTGCAAGCTGGAAAACCTTCACTCCTGTCCTTACCTGAAGCTTTGCATCTGCAAATTCCGAGCATTCTCCACTAGTGTGTCCAAGCGCTGACAAGATGAACGCTGTTTAGGGTTTAGGGTTTAGGGTTTAGGGTTTAGGGTTTAGGGTTTAGGGTTTAGGGTTTAGGGTTTAGGGTTTAGTGAAAACCAGTACAGTCTGCGCAGGCAGCGCAGTTGGCGAAAGCTTCCTGCCAGCGTGAAAGCACATCTGAAGCCCTGATCATAACCCTGCAAGGACTTACAAACACCCTCAACCCTCAGCCCTCAACCCTCAACCCTCAACCCTCAACCGTCATTCCACTCGCCCTGCCCACGCCCCATCGTGAACAAAACAGTGAGAATCCCAGTGGCACCCTTATTCTCCTCCTTTTCAAGGGTTAGGGTCGCGTCTAGGGTTTAGGGTCTAGGGTCTAGGGTTTAGATTTATGGTTTAGGGTTCAGGGTTTAGGGTTTAGGCTCTCTTCTGAAGCCACATGTGAAAAGGGTTCGCAGCGTATTTTCCTACATACTCGGGACTCGCGAACTGCGAGGAGCCACAGAGATCTGACCAGTCAAATTCCTTGCACACTGAACCCTAAGCCCCGAAACCCCTACGCCCTTCAGCCCTAAACCCCAAACCCCCAAACCCCAAACCCCAAACCCTAAACCCCAAACCCTAAACCCTAAACCCCTAACTGCTTAACCGCAGGCCTCACAGGGCGGCTGCGCTGGGTCCCACTCCCTTCGCGGGCTCTACGTCGCAGCTTACCAAGAGTCGGCTGCTCAGGGCTTTCGGGGTTTAGGGTTTAGGGTTTGGGGTTTAGGGTTTAGGGTTTAGGGGGATTTAGGGTTTAGGGGGATATAGGGTTTAGGGTAGGGTGAGGGGGTTGGGGGTGGAGGGATTTGGGGTTTGAGCGGTTAGGAGTTTAGGAATGAGGGAGTATGGGTTTAGGGGTTTAGTGGTTATGAGGGCTTTAGCGTTGCGAAGTTCAGCGGTTAAGTGCATACGGTTGATTGGGGTTTGAAGGGTTATGCTCGGGTTGAGAATTGGAGTTTAGCTGTTCAGTCAGACCCGTTTCGGCGCTACTGTATTTGGCTAGGGTGTTCAAGGTTGGCGGCTTAGAGATTGTTGCTCGGTTGCACGTTGGGATAGTTGATTTTAGCTTTGCTCTTTCGTTTCCCCGACTTGGTCCCTCAGATGATAGTTATAATGATCTTCATAGGGTTAAGAGACTTAAGGGCTGATTTTGGGGTTTGGGTGGTAGCCGGAATGTGGTTCTCGTAGTCGTGGTGCGGGAGGCGATGCACTATGTGAGTTTCTGGACGCTTGCAGTGGCGAGCTTGGTGTATTCGTTGGGAATCTACTTTCGTGAAGCAATACAAAATCGGAGGCGGCAAGCATCCTTGCGGCACACGGACATGACGCCTACAACATGGCAGGCTGTGATCGTAGGGACACCATCCGGCTGGTTGGCAACATCATGGCGGCCACGTCGTTTGTGCACCATGCTGCTTCCGATTCTTGTAAACCCTAAACCTTAAACCCTAAACCCTAAACCCTAAAGCCTAAACCCTAAACCCATCCGACCCGAGTGCCTCGACCAGCAGGGATCAAGGGATTGCGTGAGGTCACGGTCCTTTACCGCGTCTGAGTGAGGTGCGCAGATGGGGCAAGAACCACAGCCCCCTCAGGCTTCCAAGCGCCCTAAGCCCCTCCAGGCGTCATGCGCATGGAAACCCCGAACTCGGACCCCCTACGCCGCAACCCCCCCTGCAGCCCCCTCAATCCCTAAATCCCTAAACCCCTAACTGAAACCCCAAAACCCTAAGCACCAATTGCCTCAAACCCGAAACCCCTACAACGCCAAACGCCTATACACCAAAACCCCAAACCGTATAACCCTAAAACCCTAAACCTCCAAACCCCTAAAACACCCCCCGGAATCTTCACACCCTAAACCTCCAAACTTTAAACCCCCAAACCCCTAAAACCCTAAACCCCTAACACCCCTAGGTTCCAAACCCAAAACCCTTGAAGCCCTAAATCCCTAACCCTAAACCCCTAAATCCTAAATCCTAAACCCCTAGCCCTGACACCCTAAAGCCTGTAAAACCAAAAGCCCTGAAACCCTAAACCCCTAAACCCTTAAACCCTAAACCCCAAACCCCTAAACCCAAAAACCCTAAACCCCAAAACCCCAAACCCCTAAACCCTAAATCCTAAGCCCGAAAAGGCCTGGGTGGATGCGGACCCTTGACTTGCCGGACCTCACGCGACGCGGCTTTTGGCCGCCCCCGGACCCACCGAGGCTTGCGCTGCTTTTGGGGGGTTTAGGGTTTAGGGTTTAGGGTTTAGGGTTTAGGGTTTAGGGTTTAGGGTTAGGGTTTAGGAACCGAAAAGGTTTAATTTCCACTTCACACCCACAAGCAAGTTAAGGGACAGCCAACCCCTAACTCACTGAAACCAACTGTCGAAATCCTCGAAGGGGTACCTGGGCTAGAAGGGTCCAGCAGGGGGGTCACCGGCCTCAGCCTAACCCTAAACCCTAGGACCACCACCTCTAACTTCCAAGGGCAACACAGTGACCCTTCGCACGGGTCCTTTTCTCATTGCTTGAGCGGCGTTCCGTCCAGTTTGTTCATGTAATACTGCTTCGGAGTAGCCGTTTACTCCTCCGCATAGGGTTTGGGGTTTGGGGTTAGGGTGATTCAGTGAGTTTAGAGTGTAGGGATTGGGGGCTAAGGTTCAGGGTTTGCGGAGTAGTGGATTTAGAGTTTAGGGTGTGGGGGGTCGGGTTTTTAAAGGGGGTTGGGGGGTTTAGGGCAGGGATTCGGGCGTTCAAGCTTTTGGGTTTGGGGTCTAGGGTTTAGGGTTTAGGGTGAGGGCGCATTTGGACCAGTTTGTCTCCCCTAGTGCTTCATGACAGAGCACCGGCGATGCATACTGTTGGGGATGGTTGAAAGGTTGAGGGGTTTAGGGCTGGAGGGTTGAGGTTCTAGGGCAGGTTGACAAGGGCTTGGGTGATCTGGAGACTTGAGGGTCCGAAGCCTGAAAAGTTTACCCTGAACCCTACACCCGTAACCCACAACCTATCTAAACCTAAACCCTGAACCCCAATCCCCTACACCTTAATTCCCTGCACAAAACCCTAAACCCTCAACCCTAAACCCTATACCTAAACCCCGAACCCCAAACCCTAAACCCTAGACCTTATGGGAGCCAAGGATAGACCATGCCATCTATGTCCCACACAACGATGTCTTCAACTCGTTCTTAGATCGTTGGGTGCAGATGCCGCTCGGTCGTTTTTTAGGGTTTGGGGGGGGGGGGGGGGGGGGTTGAGGAGTTGGGGTTTAGGGTTTGGGGGGGGGGGGGGGGGGGTTGAGGAGTTTGGGGTTACAGCAGGGCCTTCTGCAGCACGTGCATCATTTAAATCTTAGGGTTTAGGGTTTAGGGTTTAGGGTTTAGGGTTTAGGGTTTAGGATCCCAACCGGCGCACCCCAAATATGAGAACCGCCACAGGGGATTTCTGACGAGGGCTTAGGGTGTGTAGCTTGAAGGGTGATTAGGATTGTAGGCGAACCATCAGAGCTTCTTCAGGACAATTCTTACAGCTGCTGGTGGCTACGCCAGAACCCACAACCCTAGAAGGCCTAAACCCTATAAACCCTAAACGCTAAAACCCATCCCACAACCCTGGAAGTCATCCCTGCACCTCAAGCATCCCCCAATACCTGAAGAGGCATCCCTATACTGAAGCCCCCAACCTTCAAACCCAAAGCACCCCAAGTCGGATTATCTGAAGATCCAAACACTGCAGGGTTTAGGGTTTAGGGTTTAGGGTTTAGGGTTGAGGGGCAGCCAGCCAGGTTTCAGCTTTCCCCAAGCTTGGACGAGATTGTAAACTGGCTCAGGCGCGCAGCTCACGGAAGCCATGGGGTTCGGGTTTAGGGTTTAGGGTGTAGGGTTTAGGGTTTAGGGTTTAGGGTTTAGGGTTTGGGGTTTGGGGTTTAGGGTTTAGGGTTTTAGGGCTTCGGGTTTAGGGTTTAGGGTGCGACTCCTGTCATCTTGCTTGCTTTGGTGACTTTAGTGTTTTCGTTCTCGCGAGGGGCAGGTGCAGCAGCTAGCACAGCGCCGCCACTCTAAAGTCCTCAACGTCTTCCCCCCCCCCTCCTGCTTGGCTCACCCCTGATTGCTTTGTTGTACTTTACTGCAACTTTAGATCCTTACCTTTTTTGGGTTTAGTGGGTTTCTTATTAAGGCAGCTAAAAGCTTAATTTATAGCTACCCTCCTGAGTGCAGCCAAGATTGGTCTTTGACTCCTAGACCTGAAGCCAAACCCTAAACCCTAAACCCTAAACCCTAAACCCTAAACCCTAAACCCTAAACCCTAAACCCTAAACCCTAAACCCTAAACCCTAAACCCTAAACCCTAAACCCTAAACCCTAAACCCTAAGCCCTACCTTCCCCCCTGCCACAGGCAATTCCAAGAATTTCTGCCTACCGAGTACTCTGCAAGCCCGGCTCCCCAAAGTGAGGGTTCAGGGCTGCAGGGGGATTGAGCTGAAGGGCTTAGGGTTTAGGGCTTGGAGTTTAGGGTTTAGGGTTAGGGTTTGCCAATGTTCCGCTCACACCACCACGCGGGGCGTGTGCTATGGTGTGCGCCCAGGTTCACGCGCTCAACCCAACCCACCCACCCACCCACATCTCAACCTTGAACGGGTTTTTGCTGGGAAGGCCCCTCTATGGGGAAGGCCGCTCCTTTAGGGAAGGCCGCTCCTTGCAGGAAGGCCCCTCCTTACGGGCAATGCCCCTCCTGTACCGGGAAGCCCTCCACGAGGAGGTTCCCGAAAACAGGTCCTGTTTTTCTGGAGCCCCGAGGGGGGGGGGGGGGGGGGGGGGGCAAAGAAGCGGTTTTTTTGGTTCTTAAAGCAAACCTTACGTCTCTGGCTGTTTTGGGCCTTACGGAACCTTTTTCCACGGCCCCTCCTTATGTGGAAGGCCGCTCCGGGGAAGGCGCTCCGGGAAGGGCGGGGAGGCCGCTTGTGGGGAGGAGGCTTCTTAATGGGGAGGCCCTTACGGCAACCCCTTTGTTTGGGGTTACTTTCAGGCGAGCCTGTCGCTGGCACGCCGCTTAAACCCTTCTCGGCGTAATGCTCGGGCTCGTCCGCAGGCATGTCGCCACGCGGTATCGCTCGCTGCTGGCTAACGCAGCGCTCGCAGCTCAGGGTGCTTTACAAGGAGGGTTTAGGCTTAGGGCTGTACGCTTCAGGGCGTTACGGGATAGGAGTTTAGGGTTGAGGTGAGGGTGGGGTTTGGGGGGTGGTTAGGGAACCCTAAACCCTAAACCGTAAAAACTTAAACCTTAAACCCTAAACCCTAAACGATAGGATTCGGTGAGCTTTGGGGCTTAGGGTGGCGCAAGGCTTAAGGCTGCAAACGTTTGGGCGAGAAGGTAAACTAGCCGAAAGTCGAGTGTAGGATTTAGGGTTTAGGGTTTAGTTGGAATATTGGTACAAGGATACTGATGTTTCAGCCAATGCCTAGATCATTACCTAAGCCAGCTTCGGCACCACGCCACACAAGACGCCCTAACCCTAAACCCTCAACCTGACACCTCTTTCGATGAGGTTGGGGCAAGGAAAGCTCCCTCATAGAGCTCAACAACACCTACACGTGAGCATCGGCGAGGGGAAAAAGAAGACCTCTGCCAGTAGGGTTACCCTAAACGCTAAACCCTAAACCCTAACTAAACCCTAAACCCTAAACCCCATGGTTTATCGGGTTTATGGTTTACGTAGGGGGTAGGGTTAAGTAAGGCTCATCTTGAGGACAGGGTGCCTGGGCTTGCACGCGCGCAAGCGAAGTACGTCATATCTGCCGTGCGACTGCTGCGCCCAACATTGAAATCACAACCCCCGGGCCTGTGCCTAATAGCCCTAAGCCCTCTGCCCTGAAACCCAAAGAATCTAAAGCCCAGCTCCGCCATGTGAACAAACGTAATATCGACCACCGCGAGAATCGCAGAGGTGGTGCTGGGAGCCTGGAGTGTAGGGCCTAGGGTTGAGGGCTTAGGGTTTGGGTTTCAGTTTATAGGGTTTAGGGTTAAGGTGCTAGGGTTTATAAGTTTATGGTTTAGGGTTCACCTGGCAATCACAAACGAATGGCTGCCCCGATCATGATGCGGCAGTGACCAAACCGCCATTCTTGCGCGCTGGTGAGCCTTATCCCGTGCAATGTCCGCACCAAGCCTGTCAGCATGTCATCGCCCCTAAACACGGAACACGACGACCCTAAGACTCTCAGGCGGAGTTGCTTACCCCGGATAACAGTGTCAAGTACGCTGCTTGCCCATTTTGCCACAGTCGTCATCACCACCCTGTGTCACAACCATCGCAACGCAGGGCCCTGAGCATGAAGCACGGCAGCGAATTACGCACTACATTTTGGCCCCCTTGAACCCTAGAAGCCCGAAAGCCTGATGGACCTGCTAAGTTAGGGCAAACACTAGACCCTCAACCCTAAACCCTGAACCCTCAACCCTGAACCCTGAACCCCTCAACCCTCAACCCTCAACCCTCAACCCTAAACCCTAAACCCTAAACCCTAAACCCTAAACCCGAACTGCCCTTCAGCCCCAAAGGCCCCTTAAGCCCTGACTGTCGAACCATCCCATGGGTGCGCCATGAGATGTCTTGGCCACTTTCGTTGGCCACTTCGCCTATGCGTGGCTCCTGAGTTGCACTCTTGCCCCCCTGGTTCTTAGTAGGGAATGAGGGAATTAGGGCCCTATATATATATATATATATACCTTTAAGGGATTATATAGGGTACCTCATTCCCTCATTCCCTACTAAGCACCAGCCAGCCTGGATGTAAGTCAAGGCAAGGGTTTACGGTTTTGGGTTTAGTGTTTAGTGTTTTGGGCTGGGGGCGGGGGTGGGGCCCGTTTTGTGCCCATGTAAGTCTCAGGCCAGCGCTTGGCTCCCTGTGGCAGCGCGCCCGGCATCAGCGATGCCCGAGGACCTCCTTTCGGTTAGTTTAGGTTTTAGGTGTGTGTGTGTGTGTATCGGTTTGAGGGTTCAGGGTTGACGTACAGAGCATCTGCATGTATGTATATAATGCAGATTTTTTACATGCCCTGTTTTGTATGAAACAAAATTGGTCTAGCCAGGGCTTGCCAAAGTACCCATCAGAGACATGTTCCTAGACCCTACATTTCCTATGCACCTAAACCCCTTAGCCCCTGAACCCGAACGCCCTAAAACCTCAGGCCCAAAGCCATAATCCTAAGCCCTGAACCCTAAACCCTAAACCCTAAACCCTAAACCCTACACCCTAAACCCTAAACCCTAAACCCTAAACCCTAAACCCTAAACCCTAAACCCTAAACCCTAAACCCTAAACCCTAAACCCTAAACCCTAAACCCACCCAGCTTCCTAAGCAAGTGAGCTCAGCCAGGACTTCTACGCAACTCTGGGCTTGAGCCCCGCTGCATCCATCGAGGCGGAAGCGCTCAAAGCCGCCTCTTGGGTGAGGAGGTAAGCTTTGACTGTTTGGGTTTAGGGTTTAGGGTTTAGGGTTTTAGGGTTTAGGGTTTAGGGTTTAGGGGTTAGGGTTTAGGGTTTAGGGTTTAGGGTTTAGGGGTAGTAGGTCACCTTTGATGTTTTGGACATCATAAAGCCCAAAAAGCCCCTTCAGCTGATATCATTTTCTTTCCATGGAGCACTGAATGTTAGGAAATCAAACCTTCAACCCAGTAGCCTTTGCTGCATAAACCCCCTAAACCCTAAACCCTAAACCCTAAACCCTAAACCCTAAACCCTAAACCCTAAACCCTAAACCCTAAACCCTAAACCCTAAACCCCCTCGCCCGGTAAGGCCTACCGCAAGAAAGCCCTGGAGGTGCATCCTGACAAGTGTGTCTGGGCTTCGGTTCAAGGGGGGGAGTTTGCGGGTGCTGTTTAGGTTGTAGGGGCTTAGGGCTTAGGGTTTAGGGTTTAGGGTTTAGGGTTTAGGGTTTAGGGTTTAGGGTTTAGGGTTTAGGGATTGGGGTGTAAGATTTCGGGCTTAGATTGAAAGGCTTGAAGTCAAATTTTGGGGTTTAGGGCTTACCGGGTTTCGCGTTAAAGGTCATACGGTTAGACAGGTCTCTCTTTACCACACCATCCGACGGTTCACATGTCTAGAAACAAGTGTAGGCCCTTTTGGCTGAACCAAGGTGTCCAGTATGAGCCGGCGGAATGTCAGGCGAGGTTTATTCAGGTTTCGGATGCCTACGAGACCTTGCGCAAGCCCTCGGGGGCTCGGGCCTACTACGAGAAGCCGGGCTGCTATCTTGGAACTTAGTTGTGGCTGCTTTAGTGGCACCATGCATATGCGTACATATATACACACACACACACACCCGCACACACACACACACACACACACACACACACACACACACACACCCGCACACGCACACGCACACGCACACGCACACGCACACGCACACGCACACGCACACGCACACGCACACGCACACGCACACGCACACCCACACGCACGCACACACACACACACACACACACACACACACACACACACACACACACACACACACACACACACACACACACACACACACACGTACGTTAACTCCACAGCTTGCTTACCCTAAACGCTGAACCCTTTCAACTCTAAGGCCTTCATTCTGGGAACTGATTTGAGGGTTTACGAACACAGGGGGGCCCCCAATAGTATCCCCTTGTAATGAGGACCCCGATAAGGTACCCCTAATGTCGTAAACCCCATATAGCTCGAAACCCTAAGCCCTAAACCCTAGACCCTAAAGCCCTAAACCCTAAACCCTACTGTCGAAGCTAAGAGCAGCTCAGGAAATGGAGTGCAAGTCGCGGCAAGCGCTCCCAATCCCGTCCGCGAAGGCCTGCCGGGCTTCGTCAACCCTAAACCCCTAACCCCTAAACCCCTAACCCTAATCCCGAGCCCTAAACCCTAAACCCTAACCCTAAACCCTAAACCCGGAAACCCCAAGCCCACCCCCCGAAGGACGGAATCGCGTTCTCGGAACTCTGCTGCGTTCCAGTCGGCGTCCGAATCCTGGAACCGCTTCGCGGAGGAAGCTGGGTGGGTTTAGGGTCTAGGGTCTAGGGTTTAGGGTTTAGGGTTTAGGGTTTAGGGTTTAGGGTTGAAGGCTTTCGAGTATTAGGATTTTAGGGCCTTAGGTTTACAGGTTTTCGTTTGGGCTTTAGGGGTTTGTAGGGTGTAGGATTTAGGGTTTAGGTTTTTCGTTTTTACGGAGCTGCGGTTGGGATATACTGTGTTACCTCAATGTGGAAACCCTAGTAGATAGTATATGCAAGCAACACATGGCCATGGTAGTGGTAACTTGGTTAGGTTCCCTCAACAGCAGCCCAGGAAAATAGACATCGCTGGGCAGATCTTGATGCGACCTACCTGAGAATGCACCAGCAAGTGGACTCCATCTCGCGTAAGGTGCAGCTTGGCGGCCCAGTGGTAATTACCCTTTTGCCCCTGTTGGGTTCTGTTTCCCCTTATAAAACGTCATCGACCCCAAAAAGGGGTACCCTGATGACAATACGGTTACAGGTCTGCCAAGGAACTCTACACACCCCAAACTCCCCTATTATAATATAACCATATACACATGGTTACTGGCTTGCCAAGGAACCCTGAACCCTAAAACCCTAAAACCCCCTAACCCCCTAAACCGCCCTAAGCCCTAAACCCCAAACCCCAAACTACCAAGGAAGCAAATGAGCAAGAACGTTCAGGAGCAGATGGAATCCATGCAACAGTCTATGGAGCAGTCCTTCAGCCAGATGGCGAAGAGTTTCGGAAGACCAGTGGTAGGCGTTTCCTCTTTTTGTTGAGGGTTTTGGATTTAATGATCTGGGCTCCTTTATCACAAGCTGACCAGACCAAAATGAGTACTTCTAAACCCAAACCCGAAACCTGAAACCTTCGGATACTTTGTTGCCAAGGGATATGGATTCAAGCAAAATAAGAAGCACCCCCAAGGTCCGAAATCCTAAACCCTTTTCAATAATTCGCTGCCGAGGGATATGGACTCACACTTTGATGACATCAGCCGCAAGATCGACGAGATGGGACAATCGCTGGGGGCGCGCACGCGAAAGAGAAAGCAAACTGCCGACCCTTCGCTGATTCGCTGCGAGGCATCAGCTGCCTTGTTTTTTGCCGTTTCTTTTAAGGTCATGTGTTTCTCCCCAAGCCCCCCAAGCTTAAACGGTGCGTATAGGGCTGCTTTACAAGCCGGCAGCCCTGTATGCCCTAAACCCTAAGCCCTAAACCCTAAACCCTAAACCCTAAGCCTGCTGCGTAGCACGCCAGCAGCAACTAAGGAGCGTCATGCGCGGCCGCGGCTGAAGCCGCTGGAGCTGTGACGACACCTTGGGGACTGTTTAGGGTTTAGGGTTTAGGGTGATTACATGAACCTGAAGTGAAAAAGGTTGAGGGCTTAGGGTTTAGCATTTCTGGTTAGGGTTTTAGGCTTTTGGGGTTAGATCCCCTTTACATGACTACGTGAGCCCTAAGCAACAGGGTTTAGGATTTAGGGCCTAGGGGTTATGGTGTAGGGCCATAGTTCCCCGAAACCTCTGCATGTTGCAGCAGTTAAGGTGCTTGTGGGCCTAAGCAGCTTTCGCCCCCTGAAGTGTTTATGGCCAGCATGAGCTCATCTAGGACCGGGAGTAGGCCCTTTTTTTCCTTTTTTTAGGGGCTCCCTTATAATCCCCTTAAAACCAAAAAGGGTGCCCTTTTAATTCCTAGGCTACTCCCGGGTCTAAACATATACTTTACCAGGTACACACTTGAAATACTTGCGGAGGCCTAGACGCCTGGTTCCAGATACTCTTTGGGGGATGTTTGAAACTTTTGTCTAGTCTGTTGCGGGTGTCTGAGTAGCTTCAATATAGAATCTTGGATATAGGCGCTGTTAGGGATGAATAGGTTGTGTCTGACCCACATTTTAGCGTTCATTCGGTTCCCAGGGAAGATTCTCTGACTTCATTCCCCAAGGGACATGATGTCCTCGTGCGCCGGAAGTAGATCCTTGATCCACCCCAACCCCTCCCCTTCCCTACTTGTTCTTCTGAGGGCAGAAACACTGAAACCGAAACCCTGCTCGTAAAGGATTATGTCAACCCCTTAAACGAACCCTAAACCCCAAACTCCTAACTTGTAGGCTTCGGGCCTATCTGTTTCAGGCCTGAGTGCCTGAATCATCTGTTTAGCCTGGGCAGCGCGCTCAAAGAAGGGGTGGGCTTGGGATGCTCGGGGCAGATGGGGCTTCTGGGGACTTATGAACCCTCAACCCGAAGCCTCAGAAGTAGAGCCTCCTTAGGAATCCGTCTATAAACCACAAGGGAATGTTGAGAACATTGTTCAGTTTCAGGGCGGTATAGAGAAGGGACTTATGGTTCAGAGGCTTATCTGGTTCAGGGGCATCTTCATTCGCCCCTCAACCCTTTACATGAAGGTGCCCAGAAGCTTTCGAGAGCAATCCCGTGTTAGTGGCATTTAATGGCCCCCGAAAAGGCCTTGAAACTCCACAGGCTTACATGATCCTCCTGCACCCGTTACTTCCCTAAGCCAATCACCATAAACCCTCAGGGTTTCAATTCCCTCATCCCTACAACCCTAAACTATCACCCATCAACCCCTGTAAAAACCCTAGAAACACGAAAAACTGTAAACACAACCTCACAACTCCCCAACCTCACAACTCTAAAAGTTCCAAACTCTCCAACTCCATGTGGGTGTACGAAAATGGGGGACCCCTAATATAAACCCCCAAATAGTAGTATCCCCTTTTAATCAGGACCCCAATAAGGTAACCCCCTAATAGTTCGCCAACCCCCATGGTAGCCCTAAACCCTAAACCCTAGCCCTAAACCCTAAACCCTAAACCCTAAACCCTAAACCCTGCTGGAACTCGACGCCTCAATCCGATCCCTGGGAACATGTTCGGCTCAAGCGGCTCTGCATCCCTGCCACTCTCGAAGCTGGCTTCGAACTTTTGGGAAGCTTTTTGGGTTAATAGGTTTTGTTTAAACGTCTTAGAAAGCTTTTAGGGTCAATAGGTTTTACCTAAACCCTAAACCCTAAACCCTAAACCCTAAACCCTACGCTCAGGACAATCCTCCTCGGCGAAGATGGTGAAGTTCTCCCGTGACGCTTCGAACCCCAGCAAGGCCTGCAAGGCACCCGCCCCAGCAGGGGCTGTGCTTTGGGATGTTTTTTAAAGGTTTTAAGTTTCACTTCTTTCCTTCTCAGGGAACCTATTCGTAAATAATTTTCAAAGCTTATAAGGGAACCTATTCGTTAACAATGTTCAAAGCTTATAAGGGAACCTATTCGTAAATAAATTTCAAAGGGCTTAAAGCACAACGTAGTCTATGTTTTCTTGGATGTGTTCTACCGACCAGAGGGCCCTCAACCCTAAACTTAGGGTCTAGGGTCTAGGGTCTAGGGTCTAGGGTCTAGGGTTTAGGGTTTAGGGTTTAGGGTTTAGGGTTTAGGGTTTAGGGTTTAGGGTTTAGGGTTTAGGGTTTAGGGTTTAGGGCTTCAAGCCCCCCAAAACCCTCAAGCCTTCTTGTCAGGCTTTCGGTGTTTCAGATGTTTTAATTAGGCGTTATCCGGCCGAGGCACTACTGTGAGGGGGGTTTAGGGTTGAGGGTTGAGGGTTTAGGGTTTAGAGTTTAGGTGAACTCCCCTCCAGATTTCAACGGGGGCCTTGTTTTGCAGATCTTCTTCGAAAAATATGGACTTTAATGGCTCTTTTTTTGAGAGATGTTCAATTGCTTTCAGGTACTATATGGGTCGGAAGAATTACTAGTAGTGTTCCCTGTATAAATATACTATAACCCCCAAAACCCGTTTTCTAATCATTTAGGCCCTTACATTATTAATGCAGCGATAGGCCTCATTTTCCACACAGAATGACTTGTTTTGGGGGGTGGCGCCTGTTAACTTTGAGCAAAGTTGACTTTGTGGAGGACCTCCCTGGCAAAGCAGAGTCCCACATAATTAAAGGGGTGGGTCTGCAGGTTTTGGTAGGGTTCGGCTAATTTTTTCAATAATCTGGGCACTCAGCGCCTGTCACTCCGAGGCACAGGGCGTGGACCTCCGTGTCCACTACAAGAACACCTATGAGACTGCCCAGGACGTTCCGGTGTAAGATTTAGGTTGAGGCTACTTTGGGCTCTAGGTTTCCGATTTCAGGGGTTAGAGGTTTGGGGCCTAAAGCGTAAACCCTAAACCCTTAGTCCCAAGCCCTAAACCTAAACCCTGGACCCTAAACGATCACCCGCTCCGAAATGTTGAAGTTTAAACCCTAAACCTTAAACCCTAAACCCTAAACCTGGAAGGGCTCGGCAGGTCGAGGCAGGGCATTGCTGGTGCGCCACCCCCCCCCTCCCCCCCCCCCCAAAACAAAACAAAAACACCGTAAAAAGCAAGGTGTGGGGTTTATTGCGCTCAAGGGCCTTCCCTTATTCCCTAGCCAGAACCAGCCAGCGGGGTGTGCAGTGGAGTTTGTAGGGTTTAGTGTAGGGCGTAGAGGGTTTACTCGCTTTTGGTTCGGGCCCCCGGGGCCTGAAGACCAGACTACACTGAAAGGTCTCTGCATGCTGGTGCTTTTTGGGCTCCTGTTGCAACACCGGCCTCGGGTCTAGGATAGGCAACCCGACAAGTACGATTCAAAAGGAGGTTTCCCAAAATTCGGGTCCTTAGACAGAGAATGATGGTAGATTTGGCTAAATTAGCAGGTGCCCCTGTGTTGGGAAATACTCCAATGAGTCAGAGTGCGTCAGTGATCAGTCCATATGTCATTCAGTCGCCCTCTTGAGCAACCACTCGAATTCCAAAACCCTAACCCCTAAAACCTCAACAAACGGTAGACCGTAAAGCCTCAAGCCTAAAGCCTACAGGCAGTTTTGAACTTCACACTGACTTCGTTCACTACATACCTTTCCCAGCAACTCTCCCACCACCAAAGGCCTCAACCTTAGGGACCAATGTTCTTTTTGGAGAACTGACCAATAATGATAATCATAGTAGCCAGAAGAACAAGAATTGCAATGACAGCAATCACAATGGCTTTAACACGGAAAAATTTGGTTGCAAGGTTTTTGGGGCCAAAGGCCTCAACCTGTAAACCCTAAAACTTAGCCAGGCCATCAAGGGAATGACGCTGGCGAAGGCCAAGCAGTACCTCGAGGACCGTCGGGCTTAGGGTTTAGGGTTTAGGGTTTGGGGTTTAGGGTTTAGGGTTTAGGGTTTCGGATCGGTTGAGCCATGCCCTCATACCCCAAACCACTCCAGCCCTCAGCCTGAATCCTCACAAGACCTGAGCCCTGAACCCACAAGTGCCCCCCAAGGTTGGTGGTTGAGCTCCCCCCCTTAAAGAACCTTAGTTGTGCTTGACTCTCCCATGGCCTCAATTATGGGGGTAGTATAGAGCGGGGTATTCGAAAAGCGAGCTATGTGTCGGCATGAACTGCGTCAGGATGTTTGCGAGAAGAAGCGCTGCATCCCCTTCCGCAAGTACGTGGGCACGATCGGCCCCGGCCTCGTGGGAACCCTAAACCCTAAGCCCTAAACCCTAAACCCAAGACCTCGTAACTCTAAGCTAAGCGCTTGCCAGCCTTTTAAAAGCTCAGAAGTGTTACACACCCCCACGATGTCGGGATGACGCGCCCCTAACCCTCCAATCTCCCCCATGACTACGTTTAGGGTTTAGGGTCTAGGGTCTAGGGTCTAGGGTCTAGGGCCTATTGCGTAAGAACCGCCAAAAGAGATCAAAATGTTCTTCTCAAAAGGGCAATATAGGAATCATTCTTCTACGGGCTCCTAAGCAAACAGTAGAGAGTCAAAGCCCTTTTTGCCCCCCTAATACTGTTCTAGGACCCAGAATACGTAGGCCCTTTTATCTTTCTTTGTTGCTTAGGGTTTAGGGTTTAGGCCTAGGATTCCAGAATGGGACCTTATTCCATTTTTTGGGCTTAGGTTCGCTTTTAAGCACCTTTAAACCAAAAAGGGTACCCTTTTTGTTCCTGGGTTACTCTGTATTGTTGCTCGGTGAGCAAATATCAGGGGTTAGCGGCGGGGGGGGAGGGGGGGAGGTGGATTTTGGGCCATCGCTTGTTTCGGGGGCTCGTAAAAGTCTTCCCACAGTCCAACTGCTGAGATTAGGGGCCGCATGTTCAAGGGGTGTAAGGATGCCCGCGCGCGCTATTTCCAGACATTGCGACTCAAACCATCTCCCCTAAACCCTAAGCCCTAAACCCTAAACCTGAAACCCTAACCCTCTAACCCTAAGCCCTCAACCCTAAAACCTATATAAACCCTCTAACCCTCTAACCCTAAACCCTGAAAGCCTCTACAAACCCTAAACCCTACACCCCCAAACCGCCACATGGCCGCTCTCCTGCACTGAGGCCGCACCCCCCAGGCGAAGGCAGGGCCTGCACCGGCGACCCCTAAGTAGGGTTTTTTTGAGGGTGATAGGATGTTTGGGGCTGTAGGGTTTTAAAGGGTTTTGGGGTTTAGGGAACTAGGGTTTATGGTTTTAGGGTTCTAAGGGCTCTAGATTTTTTAGGGCTTTAGGGCTTTAAGGTTTGAAGGGTTTGGGGTTTAGGTCTTGAAGGCTTATAATGGGCAACCTCGAAGTACGGTTTGGGGGTTGTAGAGTTTCGGGTTTAGGGTTTTAGGGCTTTGATACACAATCAGCAGTCATATTCCTTACGTTGTAAAGGCGTCCTCGTTATGAAACTGCTCCTTTGTCTAGGGCATTTGGTGAACGAAAAAATGGGGTAGTGTCTCTTGGTGCTTCTGCTTACTGCCCTGCTGGCAACTAAGTGTCGACTTTGGTTCTAAATGGTCTCAGCCTGGGCCCTATAAAGATACAAACCTATCTTAGGGTAGTTTCATGGGCCCTTAGTATGGTCCTTTACCTCCTGTAAAGGGTATAGAAGGGGTATATAAAGAGTCCCCGTATCAGGGCCCATCCTAAGGGACCATGTAACTACCCTAAGAACCTGGAACAACTCCGCCGTGGTTTGGGCGCTCCGCCCTGCCTGCCACAAGCCCAACCCCCAGCACACCACACCAGGTCCCTATAAACCCTCAGAACCGACAGAACCCCCAACATCCTAAAACCCGAACGTTTAACCCTCAACCCTAAACCCTAAACCCTAAACCCTTTATAATCTCTACACCCCCATAAGCCCTGGAAGCCTCAACCCTTCAAAGTCCCTACGCCCCGCCTAAAACTCCGGAGAAGCCTAGAAAACCGCAGAAAGCACCTCAGAGCCCTCCAAGAACCCTAAACCCAAAGCCCTAAACCCTAAACTCTAAAACCTTAAACCCTAAACCCTAAACCCTAAACCCTAAACCCTAAACCCTAAACCCTAAACCCTAAACCCTAAACCCTAAACCCTAAACCCTAACCCTCCAAGTCGTCTTGAGGAGTTCAAGGCCACCCAGGGCCGCTGGCCAGTTGGGAGCCCCAGTTCGGGGGGGGGGGGGGGGGGGGGGGGGGGCATTGGGGGGTTTAGGGTTTCGGGTTTGGGGTTTAGGGTTTAGGGCTAGAGGGTATTACCGAGGTTCCTTTTGGGGCATTATGTAAAGGGGGTTATTGGGTATGATGGGGTTCCAAAGGGTTCCGTACGTTTTGTAAGGTTTTTGTGGTGTTTTTGTAGGGTTTGTCACTCGCTTCACAAGCGAGTCGTCAAGCGAGAGGCAGACTTGCAACATATTGCAGCCATGCTTGAGAACAGATTAAACAGATCACTGTAGGTCTTAGGGCTTTTGGTTTGTGGATTACAGCGTTGCGGTTTTCGAAGATAGGGTATAGGCCTTTGGGTGGTTTGGGAGAATTCCCGGTTCAGGTTTGTGTGTGGGATTCGGGAAAGGGCTGAGGGGCGAGGACTGCCTTTGGTTCAGGCTTTGTGAAGAAGGGTTCGGATGTTAGGTAAGCAGGTTGTTTTGTTTTACGGTATTTAGGAGTTTGGGTGGAGCCTTTTGCTGGCTGGTGGCTTTGGTGTATCGGCTGGTGGCTTAGGTTCAGGGTTCGTGGAGTGCAGGGGCAGTGCTGTGATTTTGGAAACGCGGTCTGGGCTTAGGGGCCATGATTGGGGGTTCCTTAGTGTCCACGCCAGCCTCTAGACCCTAAGCCCAACAAATCCAAAAGCACAAACAACACCGAGGTGAAGTCTGCCAAGATTGTCCTCGGCTTGCTGAAGCCGGGGGGGGAGGGGGAACGGGAAGCAGGAAGGGGATGATTGTCTGGACTCCTGGTCTCTCATGACGGGTAAATTGTCAGGCTTACAGGGCTTAAGTAACCCTAAACCCTAAACCCCCAAACCCTAAACCCTAAACCCCAAAACCCTAAACCAAGACTTTTGAAAGCTTTTTAGGGGTTTGAGGGCTAGACGAACCCGTAGGCGGTGGGGCGATGGCTGGGCAGCGCCAAAGAAACTCTCGACTTGACCACCCAACCGCCCCATTTTCAAAAGGTGCATAGGCTTGTTTAGGGTTTAGGGTTTAGGGTTTAGGGTTTAGGGTTTAGGGTTTAGGGTTTAGGGTTTAGGGTTTAGGGTTTAGGGTTTAGGGTTTAGGGTTTAGGGTTTAGGGGGTCAGGGCTGACTTGTTGGCTCTTTGCCGGGAGTTATGGCATGAGTTATTCAGGATTTAGGGCTTGGGGTTGGGTTTCGGATTTTCCTGGGGATCTCTTCAACATTCCAATTCCCGCATTCATACCCCACGAAGAAGCAGCTATACCCTAAAACTTGCCTGGGGCTCTATCACCTGCAGTCCGTAGTAGTTACCCTTAATTAATTAGTAGGTCATACCAAAACCCATGAAACTGTAGGTAAAGAGGATCCCAGGTAAGCCTTAAACCCCAAACCACGGACCAGGAACGCGGAGGCCAACGCCGAGTTCAAGAACCTCTCCACCGAGAACCTGCATCCCAGCTGTCGAGCCGAACGGCATAGGGTTTGGGATTTAGGGTTTAGGGTTTAGGGTTAGAAACAATAGGCGTCGGAAGAAGTACTAGTAGTATTCCCTTATGGCCCCTGTAGTAAATATACGATAATAACCCCCCCAAACTCGATTCTAAATGTAAACCCTAAGCCCTAAGCCCTAAGCCCGAAACAGGCCCCCCATGGTAGAGTTTAGAGGGCTTTCTTGGGTGGGTGGTTTTTTTCTACCGCTTGACAAGCTGCTTGGCTAGTGAATGCTCGGACTTGAGGTGCTGAACCCTAAACCCTAAACCCTAAACCCTAAGCCCTCAACCCTCAACCCTCAACCCTAAACCCTAAACCCTAAACCCTAAACCCTAAACCCTAAACCCTAAACCCTAAACCCTAAACCCTAAACCAAGCCGAGGTACGTCTACCACGTCCAGGTCAACGCGGCCCAGCAGGGACGCAGGCTCCGACTCTCCCGCACACCAGCTGGTTTGCTACAGTTTGTGGCTTCGTTTCGGGTTTAGGGTTTAGGGTTTAGGGTTTTGGGTTTAGGGTTTAGGGCTTAGGGTCAGAGTTTAGGGTCTGCAGGGAGGCTGGAGTGGAGAGGGTTTTGGGCTTGGAGTTTGGAGTTTAGGGGCCGTAGGGCTTCGGCACCTGTATATCCTCAGCCCTAAGTTTAAAATTAAGTTTAGGGCGTAGGGCTGTAAACCCTAAACCCTAAACCCTAAACCCTCTTCGCACTTTTTTTGAAGTATTTCTGATTTCTAGGTTGAGAATTCAGGGTCTTGATCACGGGATCCGATGCCACCCCCTCCCTAGATTCGACTCTGACCTTCTAACCCTAAACCCTAAACCCTGGACGTTTAGGGTTTTGAGGGTTTTGAGGGTTTTTAGGGTTTTTAGGGTGTTTAGGGTTGAGGGTTTCGGGGGGACAGCCGCAAACCTGCGAGTCTCCATGCAGGCGCACCTACCGCGCCCACGGCCGCATCGGACCATACATGCACCCTGGCAAATTTGGCAGTTCTCTAAATGATGTTCCCCCCATGGTCCATGGCGGGGTATAATCCGAAAACCCAAGACCCTATAAAAATAACCCTAGACCTACGAAAGAAGCTTCATCACACAAAGAAGCTCCCCAAAAAGGACTTTGATTAGCCAACCTACCAAACGGCAACAACGCGCACACACACACACACACAACCTTAAGCTTTCTTGTGGGCCCCAAGCCCTGAAAAACGTTCCAATTCTAACCGTTGACCGGCTGAGGAACTGCCCCTGCCACGTGGAGATGATTCTGCAGGAGATGTGGGGAAGTCCACTGAGACCCGAAGCCCTATACTGAACCCCAAAGCCTGAACCCTGTAATAACCCTGAAACTCCCTGAAGCGCTGCAACCTGCGACTCTCTAATCGAGGGGTTAACGCTCGTACCCCCTAAGGTGGTTCCCCTAAAGGTTCCCCCTAATATACTCCTAATATGGCCCTTACACTACCTTGAGGTTCTTTAAAAAGGGTTCCCCAAACCCAAGGGCGCAACCTTAAGGGTCCAAGGTACAACCCCTAGATCTAAACCCCTGCAAGGTGGGGTTTAGGTTTCAGGGTTTGAAGTGAGTCTTGGTGTGAGGTACTTCGAAGGGAAGCCCTACCACTTACCATGAAGCTCCAAAACCCCTTCACTGGCCTAAATCAAACTTGGAACACAAAAAGCCTCAAAACAGGGAAGCAAGTGGTATCCCGAGCCCCAAAGTCCCCAAAGCCTTTTCCCGAAACCCGAAACCCCAAAGCCCCCAAAAACCCTAATCCGCAACGCCTTCAAATCCCTAAACCTTGAACCCTAAACCCTCGACCCTAAACCCCAATGCCCTTAAAAACCCCCAACCCCCCAATCCTCCAAAGCCTCTTAAAACCCTAAACCCTAAACCCTAAACCCTAAACCCTAAACCCTAAACCCTAAACCCTAAACCTTTCCACAGCGTCAGGAGAAGGACGAGGCAGTTGAGAAGCCCGCGGAGGTGGGCCTCCTGTGCTTGAGGGCTTTTTGGGGGGGTTTAGGCTTTGGGGTTTGGGGTTTAGGGTATAGGGTATTAGGGTTTAGGGTATAGGGTATTAGGGTTTAGGGTTTAGGGTTTAGGGGGCTTTAGGGTTTGGGGGGTTTTAGGGTTTTGGGGTTTTGGGGCTTCGGGGCTTTTGGGGGTTCTAGGGTTTCGGGCCTCGGGGTTTGCAGAGTTTTAGGCTAAAAGCGAACCCTCTGGGAAAGATATATGTTTTCCCACAAGGCCCCGAATGTATCACCCAAGATTAGGAGCCCCCCAACCTTAAACCCTAAGCGGGAAACCCCAACATAAGCTCGAGCATCGCCATCTCCCCAAAAATGGCAGGCTTAGTTGTTTGTCTTCAAGCCCTGAGCCACTAAACTAAATCCCTAAACAACCCTAAACTGCCCTAAGCTATCCCTAAGCTATGGTTAACCTCTTGTAAACCCTAGTGAACATAGCCTAGTTTGGGTCCGTTTTGGGGTTCCTAACCCTAAACCCTAAACCCTAAACCCTATAAGATGGAGCCTTGTACTCAGGGCCCCAAGAAGGAACATGGATTGAGAGAAGCCCCAATACTTGGTAGCTGCATGAGTAGACTTTACACTTTTGGGATACTACAATCCCCTATAGAACTGAAAGCGTACACTTTCTTAGGGTCTAGGGTTTAGGGTTTAGGGTCTTCAGGGTTTAGGGTTTAGGGTCTTTAGGGTTTAGGGTTCAGGGTTCAGGGTTTAGGGTTCAGAAGAGTAGCGAAGCTCCAGGAGAAGCAGCCCAAGAAGTTCACTCGCAAGCAGCTGGCCAAGCTTCGTTTGCCGGCGCGCTCGCCCAGATTACAGGGTTCTTAAGGGAGGGGGGTTTAGGGTTTGGGGTTTAGGGTTTAGGGTGTAGGGTTCTTATTGGAGGGGGGTTCATGGGGGGGGTAGGTACCCAGGATCCGTTAAGGACCCTATAACCAGATTGGTCCGTGGTGTGTTCAGGGTGTAGTGTTTGAGGGAAGGTCGAGTTTCGGGCTTAGGTTTAGGGTACAGGGGGTCAGGGTTTAGCTGTTCAGGTGTTCTTCTAAACTCCTAAACCCTATATAAACCCCATATAAACCCTTAAACCCTTAATCCGTAAGCCCCCCAAAACCCTAAGCGTCAGTTTCTGGCAGGTCGGCGGTGACAAGTGAGCGGATGGATGAGCGACTGTTGAAGTGGCGGAGACGAAAACAACCTTCCCCAATGGTACCATTCTGAAGACAGTCTTGGGTTTGGGGTTTAGGGTTTAGCGTTTATAGGGTTAGCGTTTCGGGGTTGAGGGTTTAGGGTTTGGTTTTTATAGGGTTAGGGTTTAGGGGTTAGGGTTTAGGGTTTAGGGTTTAGGGTTTAGGGGTTAGGGTTTAGGGTTTAGGGTGTATAGGTGTGGAGACTGCAAGTGCTACAGGTTCTCCTTTGCAGTACGGTTTTCAGGGCTCAGGGTTCAGTCAGTCAGATTTAATTCCCTAAGCCCACCACCCTAAACCTTCAAAAGGGCTTAATTCCCAAAACCCTAAACCCTTGTTTCTTGAACCCTCAACCCCAAACCCCATACCCTCAACCCCTGTTTCAGACGCACGCCCGAGAATCCCAAAACTCTCTGCACCCTGCATCTCCTGAACCCTAAACCCTAAAACCCGAAGCCTGAAGCCCAACGATCGAAATATTGTTGGCTCAACAGCGGCTCTGCAATTCCTGCCACTCGAAGCTGGGATACTGCTTTGGGAAAGCTTTTAGGGGTTTATTGTTTAGGGTTTTAGAGTTCAGGGTTTAGGGTTTAGGGTTGATACTGCTTTGGGAAAGCGTTTTAGGGGCGATAGGTTGTGGGGTTGCAGGGTTTGGGATGAGGGTTTTTGAGTTCTCTGCTTGCTTCAGAAGGCAACCCCTTCAAGCCTAAGTAAACTCTAAAGAACGCGTGTTGTAGTCTTCTTGTGGGGGTGGGGGGGGGGGTTTGACAGCTAAACCCTAAACCCTAAACCCTAAACCCTAAACCCTAAACCCTAAACCCTAAACCCTAAACCCTAAACCCTAAACCCTAAACCCTAAACCCTAAACCCGGACCCTAAACCCTAAACCCTAAACCCTACGCTCAGGACAATCCTCCTCGGCGAAGATGGTGAAGTTCTCCCGTGACGCTTCGAACCCCAGCAAGGCCTGCAAGGCACCCTGCCCAGCAAGCCCTAAACCCGAAACCCTAAACCCTAAACCCTAAACCCTAAACCCTAAACCCAGCTAGGCTCTGTGCTTCTTGGATGTGTTCTACCGACCCTCCAGTCCTCACAGGGTCCTTGACGGGGGTTCAAGTGGGGGTACGTAACCCAAGGGTTTAGGGTTTAGGGTTTAGGGTTTAGGGTTTAGGGTTTAGGGTTTAGGGTTTAGGGTCCCTAAGTACCTACCCCCCATGAACCCCCCTCCCTTAAGGACCCTATAAAGTCCTCAACCCTAGTTTTAGGGTTTAGGGTTGCAAGCCCGAAAAACCCTAAAGCCTTCTTGTCAGGCTCTGAGTGTTTGATATGTTTTGGTGTTTTCCGGCTGAGGCAGTACTGTGGGGGGTTAGGGCTTAGAAGGTTAGAAGGTTCTGGGTAAAGGAGGTTTCCGAAATCAGGGGTACCTTATTGAGGTCCTTGTTATAAAATCCTACGTTGACTTCATTAAGCTCCGCATCTCTGCTCGCTACCGCCTGCATCCTTTGCCACACGGCATACAGCAGGCTCACTTGGTCAAGTTGCTAAAAAGCTGGAAGTGGGCCGCCAGACCTCTGCAAACCACGCGCGGCGACTCTGAGGGCCGCGCTTGGGAGGTTGGGGCTGAGCAAGAACCCCCAGCTCCCGCAATGAGTGCAGGCGGCGGATACGTTCTCATCACAAAACTTCGGGCACTACAGCCGGCCACAAGGCTACAGCAGTATGTGCATCCTCCCGGACAAAACAACACATGCGCCATGAGAAGCCAGCTTCTTCCTCTGACGACCCGTGGGCTGGTGGCAACGATCCGTGGGCTCTGTACAAAGCCCCTCCAGGGCTCACTCCAACTGTGCCTCCGGCCAGCTCATCGAGTGCCACCACGGATTCCAAGTTGACCAAGATGCGCGCTGAGCTACAGGCCGATCTCCAGACCATGCTACAGCAGCAGCTTGCCCAGGGCTCCGCCTCCGCCTCGGCCCCGACTGCTGCTCAAAATGCCCGAATCGCCAAGCTTGAAGTGGGAGTCCAAGAGCTCCACCACAAAATCAAGCAAAAGGCTTGGGTGCGCAGGTAGGGGCTTCGGGGTGAGCTAATTTCAAGAAGGTTTAGGGTTTAGGGTGTAGGGTTTAGGGTTTAGGGTTTAAGGGTTTAAGGGTTTAAGGGTTTAAGGGTTTAAGGGTTTAAGGGTTTAAGGGTTTAAGGGTTTAAGGGTTTAAGGGTTTAAGGGTTTAAGGGTTTAAGGGTTTAAGGGTGTAAGGGTGTAAGGGTTTAAGGGTTTAGTTTAGGGTTCTGGGTTTAGGGCGCTCGACGCCTAGGCACAGGGCGTGGACCTGCGTGTGCACTACAAGAACACCTATGAGACTGCCCAGGACATTGTGGTGTAGAATTTTGGGTTGCGGCTTTTAGGGCTGTAGGGCGTAGACTACGACGCGGAGTAGGTCTTTGTTTCCTTCTTTTTGGGTTGGGGTTCCCTTACAACCCCCTTAAAACCAAAAAGGGTGCTCTTTGTATTCCTAGGTTACTCCTGGGTCTAGTAGCGGTTTAACCCCAAACCCTAAACCCGCAACCCTTCGCCTAAACCTTGAACCCTGAGGTTCCGGAGCATGGAGGTTCTGTAAACCCTAAACCCTAACCCCTAAACCCTTAAACCCTAAACCCATGAGAGCTTGGGGCTTAAGGGGTTCAGGCCGGGTCGGGTTTAGGTGAGGCAGGGTATGGCGTATGGCTAGTGCCCCAAAAGCTCAAATGTAGGGTTTATCGGGCGAATGGAGTGTGCAGGGCTTGCAAGGCTTAACTTATAGGGTTTTTTTGTAGGAGTGAGTCAGAGGGCTTACTTGCCCTCAGGCTCTCCTGGACTCTTTTTGTTCGGGCCTATGGGGCCGACTGTGACTGGGGCCAGCAGATCGCACCCATCAAGACTACGACAAGTTCTGCCATCGAAGATTCTACGAGAACACAAGGCAAACGTTCGATGCCGTTGATGCAGAATTTGGAGTGAGAGAAGGCCTTGGGGAGCTAAATCCACTGTTCAAGGACGAGAAGGAGTTTCACGACCTCGTCAAACGCCCTCTCGCGGTCCAGCACAAGCTTCCCTGTCGCTGCGGAGCTGGATTGGTGTGATGGGTGTCTCTGCGTGATGTTGCGTCGTGGGCCTCTGTTGCAGCACGGCCGGGAGTATTGTTTAGGATCAGTGACTAGTATAGTGTACCTGACATGTGCGGCCTCCTAATTTTTGTCTACCCGACAATTAAGTAATGGGATAGTTCCCAAATCTGCGGGCACTCATTGCAAGATCCTCCGAAAGGGGAACATGGTTTGCTAGGGTAAATTAACGAGTACTCCACTCCTATTCTGGGAAATACCCCCAGTGAGTCAGAGTGCGTCAGTGATCAGTTTGGCAGCCGAGTGGCCCTCTTGAGCAGCCGCACTACTGGCAGACCTGAGTTTCAAGCCCCAGACCCGAAAAACTAAACCCCAACGCCTACCGCCGGTTTCGAACTGAGCCCATGGTTTACTTCGCTCACTGCTCCTAACCTTTTCGTTGCAACTGCCCCACTGCCCGGCATAAGGCACCTCAACCTTACTGGTATTCGAAAGCTGACTGTACTCATACATTGGGTTTCCGAAAATAGGGGACCCCCAACTTAGATCCCCAAATAGTAGGATTCCCCTATAATAAGGACACCAAGAGGGTGCCCCCTAATTTCGGAAACCCCATATACGAGGTTCGTGGTCTCTGATGAGCCTCAGTGAACCCCAAACCTTTGTCATAGTTGGGTAACATTTAACATTTTTAAGGGTACTTAAGCCCAATAAGGAATATGATTTAAATTTCTAATACTACCCCAACCATGAACTAGTAGCCGTAAACCCTAAACCCTAAACCCTAAAACCTGGCCAGGCCATCAAGGGAATGACGCTGGCGAAGGCCAAGCAGTACCTCGAGGACCTCCGGGCTTAGGGTTTAGGGTTTAGGGTTAGGGTTTAGGGTGTCGGATGGGATCGGTTGAGCCATGCCCTCATTCAAGGAGTTCCATAGACATTCCGCCTCGATTTGGGTGCTGCCTCAATTTTGGGTGCTGCTTCAGGGGGAGGTTGTTCGCTGAAGCAGCACGCTGAAATTGAGGTGGAATGATAGTCGAGGCGGCACACTGTGAAAGTCAAGTGGGTTTCGCTAGAAAGGCTATTTTGTGTGAGAAACATGCCAGGCCAAATTCCCGTGCCAAATGCATGCTGCCTCGATTTGGGTGCTGCCTCAGTTTCGGGTGCTGCTTCAGAGCGTGGGCTTCGCGCTGAAGCAGCACGCTGAAATTGAGGTAGAACGATACTTGAGGTGGAACGGTTAGGGAAACCCTTGACTCATGCCACAAACCACTCAAGCCCGAAGCCTTCATCCCTGAATTCCTGGGCCTAAACCCTAAAGGCACAGTCTCTACGGCCCGAATATCACTAGCGCGAAGCTCCAAACTCTAAAGTGCCCCAAGGACGGTGGTCGAGTTTGCGGGCAGTAGGGTTTAGGGTTTAGTGCGGCCTAAGTCGTGATAACCCTTGAGCCATAGCCCTTACGCCCTAAACTCCAGGGGTGCAAACACTAAGGTTTCCCTTAAGCCAAAGCCCCAAGCCTAAATCCTCAACCTTACCTGGACCTGGACCCCTTAGCCGCGCGCAACCCGTAACCCTAAGGCCTAAAATTCAAAGCATCCCGAAGCCGCGCAGCCCCAAAACCCGAATACGTGTGTGTGCATTCGCTCAAGTAGTAGTGGCCATATGTTTCTACACATTTAATGTATGTATGACAAGTCTATTGTTTAGGTGCATGGGGCCCCTTAGAAAAGGGATGCTTAAGTTTCGAGAAGTACGGGCTCTAGGTCTCAGATTTCTGGGCCTTTAAGCCGGTTTTGGGGCTTAAGCTTATTGAGTTTAGGACCTCCTCAGAGTTTAGGACGTCTCAGGCTCCTTAGTTGCAGGGCCTGTTTCGTGCTGTGGGCATCATGGTTTGTGTATAATAACAACCCCCGGCCTAGTACTCACCCTTCCCCTCCTGAAGTCCAAGAAGAAGCGAGCTGTGTCGGCATTGGCTGCGTCAGGATGTGTGCGAGAAGAAGCGCTGCATCCCCTTCCGCAAGTACGTTGGCACGATCGGCCCCGGTCTCGTGGGAACCCCTTCTCCCGAAACCCCCCTAAACCCTAACCCTAAACCCTAACCCCTAACCCCTAAACCCTAAACCCTAAACCCTAAACCCAATCCCGAGACCTATAAACTCTAAACTCTGCTAGGCGCATGCCAGGCTTGAAAGGCTCAGAAGTCTTACAAACCCTCAAGATGTCGGGAAGACGCACCTAACCATCCAATCTCCCCAATAATCAAGGCCCTCAACTCCCTAATACCACTCTTGTTGGTGGGTGAACAAATATTCTTTCCCCCTTGGGAACTTTTTCTTTTTGTTCATATAGAACCCAAGAGGATATTAACCATATTATTTTTATTAAGGTTCTAAGGGAGTATAGTATTAGGGGGAAGTGGATGTTGGGCCATCCTGTTTGGGGTCCCGTTTCTACGGTTTCCGAACCCGGACCAGAGCGACGGATCCCGAGCCCCCTGAACCCGAATGAGGGTTTAGGGTTTAGGGCTGTTAGGGGCTGGGGTTTAGGGTTTAGGGTTTAGGGTTTAGGGTTTGGGGTTTGGGGTTTGGGGTTTGGGTTTAGGGTCGGGCTGTAGGTGGGGCACTTACTTCGTGCCAGCACTGCCTTAAAGCACCCAACCTTATAAGCGCCATGAGCCCTAAACCCTGAACCCAAGCGCAGCATCCAAAGAGCACCGTGAAGGGACAGTATATGCAAAAGGGAGTTCAGGGTCTAGACTGCTTAGAGAAGGCAGGTTTAGGGTTGGGGGTGAGCTTAAAGCCGTGCCAGGGAGTTCGGGGTTCAGGATTCAGTGTTTAGGCTTGGGGATGCAGGCCTAAACCCTAAACCCTAAACCCTAAACCCTAAACCCTAAACCCTAAACCCTAAACCCTAAACCCCAAACCCTACCCCCTAAAAACCCTCCATTGCCACATTTCCGCTCTCCCGCACCAAGGCCGCACCCCCCAGGCGAAGGCAGGGCCTCCACCGGCAACCCCCAAGTACGGGTTTAGGGTTTAGGGTTTAGGGTTTAGGGTTTGGGGTTTAGGGTTTAGGGTTTCAAGTTAGAAGGAGTATAGGGTTCAGGGTCTGAGGCTTTAGGGTTTGAGTGTTTTTTGGGTAAGGTTAAGGGATTTAAGGTTTGAAGGGTTTGAAGGGTTATAAGTTTATAGGGTTTCATCCTAAACCCGAAGCCCTACGGTTCCCCTTACCTTACTGTTTATCTTTTTGTTTTTTTTTTGGGGGGGGGGGGGTGTAGGAGGGGTCCTCGGTCCTACTTGGGATCAGAGTTTTCGGGCGTTGCAGTTGAAAAGGCGGCGACGGTTTACTCCCTTCCCCCTTTTATTAAAGGTACCCCTAATACTAAAAATACTTTCCGGAAAATCCTGCCGAAACCGAGCCCGCCTTTTAACCCCCATTTCGAATTAGGGGGGTGGTTCAGGCCTCCAAGAAATCCTTCAACACCAATAAAACCCTCAGAGGGTTTAGGGTTGGGGGTCTAGGGTTCAGGGTTTAGGGCTTAGGGTTTAATCAGAGGCCCGTCTTTTGGCAGCACGAAGCTGTCTGACTATTTGAGTAACCCTGAAGTCTAATGAATTATGACATTTCGATAAAAATACCCCCTAATACTAAAAACACATTTCGAATTTTTAAAGGGAGGGGGGGGGCGCTCCCCCCCGGTTTAATATTAGGGGGAAGGGATTTCGGCTTTGTGTTTTAGATGGGCCTTGAGGCGTGTTTGATTTTGGGCTTGGGGTTTAGGGCTTAAAGCCTAAACTCAAAGGATGAGGGCTTTGCGATGACGTGAGATCACACACATGATCGCCACCAAACGCGCGTGCATGCAAAGCGACATTGCAGAAGTTTGCAATATGCGCACAAAATGGAGCTCTGACCTATTCAGGCACAGTCACATGAACAAATCGGCACATGTTCTGTCCTGTGATTCCCAGTGGGCCCAATCACAATAGTGACATAATAATCTTCCTTACACTTACGAGGAGTCTACGTTGTGAACTGACCCTCCTTCATTTTGGGGTTTTAGTGGTGGACGACAAAGTGTGCCGGTTATTTTCGAACTTCTTCACACTGCCTTCCTTTCCACTAAAGCCAACTTTGAAATCATGCGGGTTCAAGGTTTGGGGTGTGGATGTAGTTTGGCCTGATGCGATAGGCCCACCACAGATACCGTTCAAGTGGTCTAAGCCGTAACACACAAATCCTGAACTACTCGAAGTAGCGGTCTCGAGGTTGAGAAGTCGAACAAAAAAAGGGAGCCCAGAACCACTCCCACTCCGTGCCCCTGACTCCTAGAAGCACAGCCCCCAGCACTCCACACCAGAACCCTATGACCCAAACCCTAAACCCTAAACCCCTAAACCCTTAAACCCCCAAACCCCTAAACTCCTAAACCCCTAAACCCCCAAACCCCTAAACTCCTAAACCCCTAAACCCCTAAACCCCAAACCCTAAACTTCTCCAAGACCCCTTGACACACCCCGGTAGAATGGGGTGGGCATGCTGAAGCACACCCCCGAAACAGAACGCCCCCCAACACCCTAAAACCCAAAACAACCTACACCACCAAAAACGCTGGAAGCCTTAAACCCTAAACCCTAAACCCTAACACCCCAAGTCGTCTTGAGGAGTTCAAGGCCACCCAGGGCCGCTGGCCAGCTGGGAGCTCCAGTTTTGTGGGGGGTTGAAAGTTGAACAGGAGCTTCTCGGGCTCTACAGGGTTTAGGGTTTAGGGTTTAGGGTTTAGGGTTATAGGTGATAGGGCATAATAGGGCCCTGTACTATGGGGGGCTGCAGAAGGGGATGATAGGCTTTCACTGGGCCTTTAGCTTATCTTGTTTAAGGGTTTCTTTTAGGGCGTTGAAGGGTTTACGGTTAAATCGCTACGGCTCCAGGGATGTCTGCTACGAGGCCCACGAGGGTGTAACTTGTTCCAATTTGTGTCGCAGCTTCCTGTGCTTGGTAGGTCTTAGGGCTGTGGTTTGAGTTTTTAACGTTGTGGTTTGAGGATATAGGTTGGGATTTCCCCCTTAGACTAAGAGTCCTTAATTGGGATGCTAATGGGGGGGGGTACTATATTCCCTGTCAAGGACTGTTAGTATAAGGGGGGAACAAAAGTTCTCGCCATCTCGGCCATGTCGGGCCAGAAGGGATGGAAGGCGCAGTTCAGCGCCATTGAGGCAGCTGGTCACAGCTGGCTTTTCAGCAAAAGCTGAGGCCAAGACCGCTGATGGCAGCAAAGGCCAGAAGAATAACAAGCGCATCATCGACGAAGATGCCCTCTCTGGCTTTCTGAGCCAGGAAATTATAAAGGATCCAATTTTTGGTTCCTTGTGGATTGGTCGATCCAGAGGACGAAGATTTCTCTCTGGAAGACGTTGACACGTGGTATACCCACCTGCTGGTGAGGCCAGAAGACACTGGCTTTGTGAGTCTGGTCCCTTAGAGTATAGGGCTTTGGGTGGTTTGGGAGAACTCCCCGTTGAGGTTTGGGTGTGGGATTCGGGTAAGGGTTTAGCGGCTTGGGCTGCCTTTGGTTCAAGCTTTGTGGCCCTAACCCTAAACCCTAGACCCTAGACCCTAAACCCCAAACCCCAAACCCCAAACCCTAAACCCTAAACCTAGAGAAGGGTTGGGGTGTTGGTGACGGAGTTTGTTTTTTTGACTGCATTTAGGATTTGGAGTGGAGTTCGCTTTTGGCTGCGGGCTTTGGTGTAGCATTGTAATGGGCATGTGGCGTAGTATTCTTTTGGCTGGTGGCTTAAGTTTAGGGTTTGTGGAAGGCTTGTTTTCGTGGATTGGTTGACGCTTGGGGCAAGAGTGCAGTGGCAGTGCAGGGCGTTATCAGAAACGCCGTTTGGGTTTAGGCACTGCTTTCCCAAAGGCCATAGTTTGGGGTTCCTTGGTGTCCAAGTAAGCCTCTACACCCTCACACAAAACATCTCGAAACTAAGAACTCCACTAAACCCAAATAACTTGAAAAACACACACACACACACACACACATGCACACGCCGAGGTGAAGTCTGCCAAGATCGTCCTCGGCTTGCTGAAGCGGGGGGGGGGGGGGGGGGGGGGGGCTGCTCCAGGGTTGAGGGAATCTGGAGTGGTTTAGTAGGGCTTTGGGAGTTGAGGGCTGAAGGGCTTGGAGCTCAAGGGTCTAAGGGCTTGCGGCTTCGAGGTTTCATGAGGTTTTCCTTGCTTGCCCCCCACTCTGAATCATCTCCGCTGAGCCCTTTCCCTACACCCTATAAGCCTTAAACGAATCCGAAGGCGGGTGGGTGGGTGGTTGGGGCACCTTAAAATGAAACCGTGACTTGGTGACCTAGTTGTCCGAGGCACCAAGCACTTCACCGGGAGCTACGATAAACATACAGTTGCCTATAGAGGTATTCGAATCGCGCATCATGACCTCCCCGCAAATAAGAAGCAGTAACTAAATACCCCAAAGCCCTAAGCCCTAAGGCCTAAACTTGGGACGTTCCGCCTTATACCAACAGTCCTCTATAGGGATTATAGTTGGGGCTGCTATAGTCCCTATTAAGGACTGCTACTACAGGGCGAACATCCCAACCCTAAGCCCTAAACCCTAAACCCTAAACCTAGTGGGGCCAGGAACGCAGAGGCCAACGCCGAGTTCAAGAACCTCTCCACCGAGAACCTGCATCCCAGCTGTTGAGCGGAACTGCTTTGGGGTTGAGGGTTTAGGGTTTTGGGTTTAGGTTTAAGGTATCCCTCAGCCCTACTTGGAGCCGACGCCCTAAACCCTAAACCCTAGACCCCAAGTAAGGGCCTGCAGGTGTGACGATGTCTCAAGGGCTTAGTACTCCAACCAGGCTGCCTTGGGGGAGCCAATTGGGCCGCGGTTTAGGGTTTAGGGCTTAGGGCTTGGGGTTTAGGGTTTAGGGTTGAGGGCTTAGGGTTTAGGGTTTATCTGAGGGTAGTTTCATGGGCCCTTAATATGGTCCCGAACCTCCTTTAAAGGGTTTTGATGTATGGGCCCCCTTAATTTGCATAGGGTATATGATGAAGGGGTATATAAGGGGCACCCTTGTAAGTTCCCATACTAAGGGACCATGTAACTACCCTAAGAGTTTAGGGGTCCTTGCTGCCCTGCTGCCCAATCGTGGACATCACACGGCCGAACGCGCCTATGGCACTCGCTCTCAAACGGTCCCTAAACCCTGAACCGTAAACCCTAAACCCTACAACCTAAACCCTAAACCCTAAACCCTAAACCCTTATAAACCCTAAACCCTAAACCCTAAACCCTAAACCCTAAACCCTAAACCCTAAACCCTAAACCCTAAACCCTAAACCCTAAACCCTAAACCCTAACCCTAAACCCTAAACCCCACAACGCCTTTGACCAAGCGGCGACCATTGGAGCAGCAGCACCGGACCCTGTTCACTATCGAGTGAACACGAACACCGGGATGCCATCTTGGGGTTTAGGGTTGAGGGTTTAGGGTTTAGGGTTTAGGGTTTAGGTTTAGGGTTTAGGGTTTAGGGTTTAGGGTTTAGGGTTTAGGGTTTAGGGGAGTAAGGGGAGTACATGGAGTAAGGGGAGTAAGGGGAGTAAGGGGTTGGGTTTTTTTTTGGTTTCCTTGGGGTGGTGGGCTTGTCACCATACCCCACGCTCGCAATTTGGCTCCACAGGCAGCTAGTTCCTCCCCTCAACCCGAGGCAATACTCCCCACTGTTCCCTAAGGTACCCCCCCATGAACTCCCCTCCCTTAAGATATATCCCGATTAAGAACCCTAAACCCTAAACCCGAAGTAACCCTAAACCCGGAACCCTAAACCCTAAACCCTAACTAAGCCGAGGTACGTGTACCACGTCCAGGTCAACGCCGCCCAGCAGGGACGCAGGCTCGGACCCTCACGCACACCAGCTGGTTTGCTAGTAGGTTTGGAGTTTAGGGTTCAGGGTTTAGGGTGAGGTTTGGAGAGGTTTAGGGCTCATTGGGCTTAGGGTTTCAGGTTTTAGGGGGGGGTTTAGGGTTTGGGGGGGGGGGCGGGGGGAGGGGGGCTTACACGAAGCTTGCACCATTTGGAGGATCATCCTTAGGAATACTTTCCTGGAGATCTACCAGCGTAGGGACCCGTAGATCCTTATACTTAAAGCTAAGGGGTTTAGGCTTTAGGGCTTTTTGAAAGCTGAGGCCTTGTAGGAGGGTCCTTCAGTTTTCTTGGGAGCTTGAGGATTCAGGGTCTTGATCGCGGGATCCGGAGCCTGTTCTACCTCCTCCCTTCCCAAAATCAGGCAAGGCTCATGCCCTCAAACCACAAGCCCCAAACCCTTGGCCCTTAACTTAAGGGTTAGGTTTAGGGTTTACGGCTGAGGGTTTAGGATTTTGGGTTTTGGTTTAGGGTTCTTAGTTTGGTCAGGGGCGGTTAGTTGCGAACCTGCAAATCTTGGCGTTAGGCGCACCTACCGCGCCCACGGCCGCATCGGACCATACATGCTCCCTGGCAACACACTGGGCAGCTCTTTACATGATGGTGCCCCAATTTTTGAGGAGTAAACAACCTAAACCCAAATCCCAAAACTCCAAACCCAACACTTGCCAGAAAAAACAGGCTTCATCCTATCCCAAATGAACTCCCAAGCCTACCAAACGGCAACAAAGAAAGCACAGCAGCACGTTGAGAGTTCCGCAAGTTGGTTTACGGGTTTATTCTTTAGGTACAGTCTAAACCCTTAACTTTTTTGGGAGGGGGTGCGAGAATAAGAAAATAAACAGACTAGAGCCCTAGAAACCTTGACTTTCGTTTGTTCGAGCCTAGGCCCTGAAGCCCCAACACCTGGGTTTTGGAGTACTATACTTCAATGCGTTTCTTGGTTCTGGGTTCCTACTATAGCGACTTGTACCTAAAAGTACATACTTATTCCAGGGCCTACTCCAGAGTAGGAAACCCTCCAATGCATACACCGTTGACCGGCTGAGGAACTGCCCCTGCCACGTGGAGATGATCTTGCAGGAGATGTGGGGAAGAAGTCCCTAAACCCTTCAACCCTTAAACCCCAAACCCTAAACCCTAAGCCCTAGGCCCTAAAGCCTGAACCCTATCAACCTAAAGCCTCTTTCAGGCCCTGAAGCCCTGTAAGCTACGGTGATCACGGAACTCTTTCAGGTGGGGTTCGGGGTTTAGGGTTTAGGGTTAGGGTTCAGGGTTTTAAGCCCGAAGCCCAAAGCCCTTCTTGGTGTGCGGGTACTTAAGAAGGGAAGCCCCCAATCCGAAAGCCGCTTGACAACCTACGCCTCAGCCCTGAACCCCCAAACCCTAGTTAAACCCTAAAACCTAACCCTAAACCCTAAACTGACCCTGGAACGGATTTTAAAAAGAAAGTCTTTGCCCCAAAAGCCCGAAACCACCCCTAACACCAGGTCTCTGAACCCTAAACCCTAAACCCGACACCCTAAACCAACTCTGGAGCCGATTGGGATCCCTAAAATCGCTAAATCCTCCAAAGCCTCCTAACACTATAAGCAGGCCCGTAAACCCTAAACCCTAAACCGGGGCATTTCGTACTTTTCCTTTCTGGGGGTTTCAAAAGGATCCTTTCAGGGGTTTGAGGATCATAGTCAGGAACTTAATAGCTGAAGTGAGTGCACCTTACACGTTTTGGGGTACTATCACCCCCTACAAAACTGAAAGTGTGCACTCCTGGGGGGGGGGGGGGGCTTATGAACTCAGCAACCAAGGGAATAACCCTAAACCCTAAAACCTAAACCCTAACCCTAAACCCTAAACCCTAAACCCTAACCCTAAACCCTAAGCCCCTGAACATGTTTCAGAGGGTTTTACGGGCCATACGAGACTTCTTCCGCAGCGCCAGGAGAAGGACGAGGCAGTTGAGAAGCCCGCGGAGGCCTAGGGCTTCTTTGCTTTTGTGTTTAGGGTTTAGGGTTTAGGGTTTAGGGTTTAGGGTTTAGGGTTTAGGGTTTAGGGTTCAGGGTTCAGGGTTCAGGGTTCAGGGTTCAGGGTTCAGGGTTCAGGGTTCAGGGTTTGTGGTGCTTTGGGTTTTGGGGGATTTAGGGTTTGGGGGGCTCTAGGGTCTTGAGGTTTTGGGGCTTTAGGACTTGAGGGGTTTTGGGGTTGTAGGGCTTGGCTTGAGAGGTTTTGGGGCTGTGGGGCTTCAGGGGTTTGGTGGGTTTTTTCGGGATTTGGGGCTCAGGGGTTTTGGGCTTCGGGTCTGAGCCTGAAGCCCTGAACCACTGCCCTCGAACCCTAAACCACCTTAAGCCAGGCGGGTCTCGGATTTAGGGGTTTAGGGGAGCCCTAAAGCCACCCTAAGCCCTGTATTGGCTCCAATTTTTTGTTTTAGTGAGGAGAAGCGAAGCTTTATAACCCCAAGTATAACTGGACTTATAAGCCCCCTAAGTCCCCTAAGTAGGTTATAAGTAGACTTATAATTGGTGTTATAAGTACCCTAACCCTAAACCCTATACCCTAACCCTCAACCCTAAACCCTAAACCCTAAACCCTAAACCCTAAACCCTAAACCCTAAACCCTAATTGGGGTTATAAGCACCCATGAACCTCCAAGCAGGAGAAGCAGCCCAAGAAGTTCACCCGCAAGCAGCTGGCCAAGCTTCGTCTGCCGGTGCGCTGGCCCAGGGCAGTCTGTGGTGTGTGTTTAGGGTTTGGGATTTAGGGTTCAGGGTTTAGGGTTTAGGGTTTAGGCTAAGTTTCGGCTCAGGGTTTGGGACTTAGGTGTCTTTGGGGGAAGGCAAGGATTTGTTGCTTCGGGTTTGGGGTATAGGCTGTATAGGCGTTAGGGTTTGGTGGTTTGGGTGCTTTGCTCTGGCTACAGTATGTGGCTTAACTTTTCGCTCTGGGCAGAGCCGTTTCTTGGGTACCCATACTATACTATACTATACTATACTATACTATACTATACTATACTATACTATACTATACTATACTATACTATACTACTTAGTAGCTGAGTGAGCACACGTTACACCTTTGGGGATACTAGAACCCCCTATAGAACTGCAAGTGTACACTTTTTTGGGGCTTGTGAACTCAGCAACTAAGACGATACTAAGCTGTTTGGGGAAGTTGGAGCTCATGGATCAAGTCTTTGGGGCTCTTACGTGGTGGTGGTGGTGGCGGCGTTTCGTTTCGAAGCCCTACTACGCCTCCCAAACCCTAAACCCCAAACCCCAAACCCCAAACCGCCCCACCTTCCCGAAAGCCCCAAACCCCTAAGCGTCAAGTTCCGGCAGGTCGGCGGCGACAAGTGAAGCAGCGAGAAGTGAGCGGATGACCAACTGGCGAAGTGGCGGAGTGGAATAAAAGCTCGTGCAGGTTTAGGGTTTAGGGTTTAGGGCTTAGGGTTTAGGGTTTAGGGTTTAGGGTTTAGGGTTTAGGGGCCCTATGGTATCGAAGACCCAGAGTAGGCCCTTTTTTTTTCTGTTTCTTTTTTTTGCCGGGTGGGGGGGGGGGGGGGGGGTTGGGTTCCCTTGTAAGCCCCTTTAAACCAAAGAGGGCACCCTCCTTTTTTTTCCTAAGTTGCTCTTGGGACTCTTGGGTCTAGGGTTTAGGGTTTAGGGTTTAGGGCTTAGGGTTTAGGGTTTAGGGTTTAGGTATTTGCACCCACGACCCCTCAAAATTTAAAGTGGGGGGGTGGCCTGGGCTCCTCACGGTGTCCTCCACTCCCCCAAAACCCAAAAACCCCTAAACCCTAAGCCCAACCAAAAAAAAACCTAAAACCCTAAAACCCCACAAGACTGCACAGCCCTCAGCCCCAAAAAATGACCTAAACCCCTAAACCCCCAAAAGCCCCAAGCCCTAACTCAACCCCCAAACCCCAAAAAAACCCGGCCGTTCGGAAAAGCCTGCGTCTTGCTGCTGGCTCCAAGCCCTGGAGTTGAAGCAATTCGCACCCTAAATCCTCATCCTTGCGGCCCTAAACCCTAGCCCTAAACCCTAAACCCTAAACCCTAGCCCTAAACCCTAAACCCTAAACCCCAAACAGGCTTCCCAGGGGCCAAAAGCGAAGGTGCCGATTCCTGGGCGCCCGCCATGGTCTCCTCTTTCCGAGTGTCGGCCGCAGCGCGGCCTTCCGACGCCGCCTTGCCGTGCTAAGGGTTTAGGGTTTAGGGTTTAGGGTTTAGGGTTTAGGGTTCGAGCATTTACTAGGCCAGCAGTGTATCTAGGCAACGGCAAAAACCCACCCGCCCAAAGAATCCCATAACATTAAGAAAATAGAAGGTTACTTATTTTCTCTTCGGATGCACCAATCACGCCGTAGTACCAAGCACTTAACGCAAGCCACACCCGGCCTTGAGGCCTTGAAACCCTAAACACCAGACCTTGAGGCCCTGAAACCCTAAACACTAGGCCTTGAGGCCCCGAAACCCTGAAACCTAAATACTAGGCCGTGAGGCCGTGAAACCCTAAACAGCAGGCCTTGAGGCCCTGAAACCCTAAACACAAGGCCGTGAGGCCTTGAAACCCTAACCATTAGGGCCGGAAATCCTAAACACCTTTGGACGAAACGACCTTGCCCAGTAAGAAATGACCTAGCCCAGTAAAAAAATGACCTTGCCCAATAAACAAATGACCTAGCCCAGTAAAAAAATGACCTTGCCCAGTAAAAAAATGACCTTGCCCAGTAAAAAAATGACCTTGCCCAGTAAAAAAATGACCTTGCCCAGTAAAAAAATGACCTTGCCCAGTAAAAAAATGACCTTGCCCAGTAAAAAAAATGACCTTGCCCAGTAAAAAAATGACCTTGCCCAGTAAAAAAATGACCTTGCCCAGTAAAAAAATGACCTTGCCCAGTAAAAAGATGACCTTGCCCAGTAAACAGATGACCTTGCCCAGTAAAAAGATGACCTTGCCCAGTAACATTTTTACTGGGCAAGGTCATTTTTTTACTGGGCAAGGTCATTTTTTTTACTGGGCAAGGTCGTTTTTTTTGACGAAACGACCTTGCCCAGTAAAAAAATGACCTTGCCCAGTAAAAAAATGACCTTGCCCAGTAAAAAAATGACCTTGCCCAGTCAAAAAATGACCTTGCCCAGTAACTCCTTAACATTTAAATTATATATGAAAGAGAGGTTTAGGGTTGAGGGTTGAGGGTTGAGGGTTTAGGGTTTAGGGTTTAGGGTTTACCCTAAACCCTAAACAAAGGGTTTAGGGCTTCGTGATGTTGAGGCTGGTCAGCGACCGAAGCCCCTCAAAGGCTCGAAGCCTCTACTGGAAAACTCTGATGGGTTTTTTTGTTCGACCCTCCCCCGCAGCACTGGATCCCCAAAATTTAGGGTTTAGGGTTTAGGATGTAGGGTTTAGGGTTAAATTTTGGAGGGTTTTGTACAAAGCCTCTTAATCTCTTAATAATCAAAGGTCAACCTTCTGCCAGATGATTCTCAGCAGGCTTAGTGTTTAGGCTCAACCCTAAACCCCTTAAACCCTCAACCCTTTCTTATTAGGGAGTTCAGGAATTACGGCCGCGGGCATCTGGTTTAAGAAACCGGGATCCAGGGGCTCCTACAGAAAAGGAGAGCGTTCGTAAGAAGCCCTAAAGCCCGAAAGCCCTAAACCAGGGTTTAGGCTTTAGGGTTTAGGGTAGCTAAAGCGCTGAAACTCTGAAACCCCCAACCCTAAAACTCTAAAACCCTAAAAATAGTAAATTCTCAAACCCGACCCTTCAAAGCATCATAAGTTCTTTTAGGGTTTGTTGCATTATAATATTAGAATGCCATTTTGCAATACTAGTGTGATAAGGTGATGTATATTACTCAATCACAAAAATTCTTGATAGTCTGGTATCCACGCTCTGTTGTTATAGTAATGTGCTAGTGCATGTCTTATTTTATTGCAATGTCACCATGTCCATACAATAGTAGATTCGAAGCGTACTAGATACACTCTTGTAGTCTTAGCTGCCTTGGCTTATATATTCCTACTACTCTAAGTCTACAAAATTATGAAATTTTGTTTCCCATATGAATATCTTATGAAATTAGTATACTTATACGGTTGCATCATGATCATAGATAGTGCTTTACGTATTATACTCTCTTTTTACTGTTTCCTATGTGTATGCTTATATAGAGGAATATATCATGAGAATCTTATATACTAGTATGTTGCTATACTCTTATGATAGATTTTTCCAAAAGAATTGTGTTTCATGAAGCTCCAGGCTGTTGGTTTCTAGGGCTTCGGGTGCTTTGAGGGTTTCTGGGGTGTAGGGGTTTCGGGTTTTATTGGGTGTTGGCGACTTAGGGTGCTGGGGATTTGAG